AGAGTTCGATGAGCTAGGAATGAGCTGCACCCGACGACCACAGGCGGTTGAGCAGAAATGCCCTCCTGCAGAGATGTGCTTTGGTGTTTGAGCTTTGCCTTACACTGTCAAATGGGTATCTTGGGACACATTTTATATTTGGAACCTGTTACTGGTCACATGAAAACTTGTTTTCCACTAGATAGTGTAGAAGAAAGAAGTAAAATTGTGACCACTTTTGTGTTTTACGTTTCACTTTCTACACAAATGACTCATGAGGATGAATGAAAGCAGAAAGTATGACAATGACACTCTGACACTCGTGCCTGCCACCCCTGCCACCACTCTGCCATCACCCTGCCACCGCCCTCATCTCCAACAGCAAAGGCTCACTTTAGTCCTGAGCCATCCTGCTCATCTCTAGAGAAGGATGGTAGGATGCAAAGGGAAATAAATCATCCCAGCTGGACATAACCTACTCTCTTGTTCGCAAGAATAAAAACCACTTTCCTGAAGCTGCTGCTGTTGTGCAAGCAAGTTTACTCACGGTTGGCGGAGGCTGCGGGGTCGTGAAGGGGAAATGAAGCACATCATGCTCTTGTATCATATTTGACCTCTGGATGCTCACAAGGAATTCCCAGAAAACACAGCTTCTTTTAAAGGCGCTGACACTTTTTACCTTTCCTAATGATCATTTAAAACACTGTTTCCCAACTGGGAGTACACATCAAGATCAACTAGGGGAGGCTTTTTTTCCCTCTCTGTTTTGGCTTCAAGCAGAAGCTCATCCAAAACCAACCAAATGGATTTTCTAGGACTTTTGTGTATTTTTATAAAGCATCTGAGGCAATGGATGCTCACAGAATTCTGAGAAGCACAATCGGTTAAGAATCCATAACTTAAAATATAGTAATTACCACCACAAGGCTAACAATGTTATGTTTTTTTTAAAAAAAAATTTTAAAAGACTTATTTGAGACAGAGAGAGCACATGAGTAGGGGGAAAGACGGAAGGCGAGGGAAAGAGAATCTCAAGCCAATTCCATGCTGAGCATGAGCCCTATACTGGGCTGGATCCCACATCCCTGAGATCATGACCTGAGCTAGAACCAAGAGTCGGACGCTTAACTGAATGTATCACCCAGGTGCCAAGGCTAACAAATTTTTTTAAATTTTTATTTATTTTTTAAGGCTAACAATTTTAGATTGACATTTGCAAAAGGGCTAATTGTTTATTTTTCAATAATATTTGAGGGATGTTGAATATCTGGTTACCCAAAAGTTTTCATAGTTCTTGACCTCAAATCTATTTTTATTTTCAATGACTGTACAGATTTTAAGGTTCTGGATCCTAAGCTAAATAATATACAAATCTTCCATACTAAAACATAAAATATTTCCAAAGCTTATGACTCTTTCATGTTAATTACTCATCTTTTGTATTGTTCAATCAGTAAGCACTCAGATACTTTCAGAACATGCACTTAAAATTTTCAATTAAGTCTTTCTGATATTTTTAAAAATCAGAAACCTTCAACACTAACATACTCATAATAAATACATTGTCATATAAATACAATATATTCAAATATTTATTCATCCATTCATTTATTCAAATATTTATTTTATAAATATTTATTGAATGCATACTTCATGCCAAGGAACTTAGACTGTAGCCTTGAAAAAAAAACCCAGAAAATGTATCTGACCATTCAGGGCTTACATTAGTGTGTATTTCAGGGGGAAGCAAGCAGTAAACAAACAATATATAATATTATAGAGAAGTGTTTGTAAAAAAATAAAGCAGCAAAGGGGTTGGGGGGAGCTGGAGGCAGGGTGGTCTAATTCATGCAGGATGGTTAATAAAGGCGTAAATAATGAGGTGAGCTAGAGGAAGGAGGGAGCCAGGTACATATCCAGGAGGATGTCATTCTGGTCACAGGAAACAGCATGTGCACAAGACATGGTCCAGAACAAGGCAGCAGGTGATGGAATGGAAGAGCAGGAAGGGCGTGGAGGCGGGCGGGAGAGAAATGTGGTCAGGGCAGGGAGGCTGTAAAAAATAATCATGAGCTGTATCAGTTTGTCAGGGTCTCTGTAACAAAGTACCACAAACCCTGTGGTTTAAACCACAGAAAGTTATTGTCTCACATTTCTGGAGGTCAGAAGTCTAAAGGGTCTGCAGGGCTGGGGCCTCCTGAGGCTGTGGGGGAGAATCTGCTGCGCACCTTTCTCCTGGCTTCCCGTGGCTCCTTGGCCATATTTGGCGTTCCTCACTTTGTAGAAGCATCACCCCAAACTGTGCCTTTACCTTCCCATTCTCCCTGTATATGTGATTGTTTCCAGATTTCCCCTTTCTCTTAGGACACCAGTCATTTTGGATTAGGACCCACTCTATTCCAGTATGATCTCATTTTAACTAGTTATATCCACAATGACCTTATTTCCAAATAAGGTCACGTTCTAAGGTACTAGAGGGTCAGGACTTCAGCATACGAATCTGGGTGGGGGGCACGTTTCAATCAGTAACATAGTTCATGGTGAGGCCCTTCTTTGTTACACTAAGGTAGGAAGTCACTGGAATGTTGTTTTGAGCAGAAAAATGCCACGATCTGCCTTACATCATAAAAAAAAGATCCCTTTAGCTGCTCTTGGAGAGTAGCCTGCAGTCAGGCAAGGGTGCAAGCAGTGACGCCTGGCTATGGGATGTGGCGCCTACACCAGGCTGCTGACCTGTATGGTGGTGTGAACTCTGGCTTTTTTTTTTAAATATTTATTTATTCATAAGAGACACAGAGAGAGGCAGAGACAGGGGCAGAGGGAGAAGCAGGCTCCATGCAGGGAGCCCGATGTGGGACTCGATCCCAGGACCCCAGGATTACGCCCTGGGCCGAAGGCAGATGCTCAACCGCTGAGCCACCCAGGCGTCCCTGAAACCTGGCTTCTAAGTGTATTTTAAAGATATAACTAACAAAAATTTCTCACAGATTAGAAGTGTTGAAGGAAAGAAGTCTCAGATTAATCCAGGATATTTGGCCCAAGTAATTATAACAATGATGTTACCGTCTACTGAGATCAGGGGGACTGAGCATAAGCTGGTGCTTGGTGGACAGCCAGTACTTTGGATACGTTGCTTGAGTTCCTTACTAAACACCCAGATGGAGAGGCTGAGTTGAATATCAAGTATGGAGTTCAAGCTGGAGACACAAATTTGCAAGATGTCCACACAGATTTGTAACATCCACAGAAATTACCTAAGAATTTCTAAATACACAGCAATTAGCGCTTACATTTACTTCCTCACCGAATCTCAGTTTCAGAAGGCATTGCAGGAAAAAGGGGCCGTCCAGCTCCCATGTGATCTTGTCAGGGTGGGTTCTCTCTGGAGATTCCTCCCATGGGGATCCCCACCCAGCACCACCGTCCACAGCCCCTCCTCTCCGCCCACAGCACTGGGTCGGTTGTAGACACGCTGAATAGGTGAAGATAGCCTTCATCTATCTGAAGCCAGCTGCCCTGGCCTGCACTGCCCTGGTCTCTTTCCCGAAGTCCCAAAGATCCTAAAGACCTAACAGCAAGGATTTTAAACAGATTGAACAACAGATTATAGGAAAAGGCAAACAGAAAACAGGACGTTTAGTGAAGGCAGGTTATGGCCGTCCTTTACTGCTGTATCCTCAGTAGGACACAGATGTGCAAAAAACATGTATTGAAAGAATACATTGTCAAGAAAACAATTGCCACTTTTTTTTACTAGTTGTTGGAAAGTTAAGGGTTGAGGACTGTTGTCAGGAAGGCTTGTGGGAAAATCGAATCATCTATATTCAATATCTATTAATATTCTAAATCTGTATCCCAATAACACTGGTATCTGTCTAAACTATTTACACACACCATCAATAACCCTACTGGATACTCATATCCTCTTACATGCATTTTCACTGAAAGCATAAAACCCAATGGTTTTTTTTCCCCCCAATGGGGTTTTTGGAGATGTTTGTGAACTTAAATGTTAAAGAACTAACAACTCCCATTTCCATCCAAAAATGTTAGAGCTCGAATTGCAAAGTGGCCAAGCAAATTTAAACATACTACTATTTCATATTCATGAAGTCTTGGCTTTTCTCTGTGATCAACAATGATATAAATTCTAAAAAAATAAATCGAATATATACATATATTTCTGAGCTGTTTTCATATGCCAGTCATGTGTCTTATACGTAACTCAGTCAATCTCAATCCAGGGAGATGGGTTCCATCAACCCAGAATTAGACACTTCCCAACTTTGCACAGCATGTGATGGAATAAGGACTGGACTTCAGGCAATCGGGCACTGGGGCCTCCACACCCACGATGCAGTCCCCTCTCAGCAATGACCTGGGAGCCAGTTCATCACCCACGAAATTTATACAGCGGACATGGTTTGGTCGCTCTTATCTGGGAAGGTCCATTCTAACCAGTTCATCTGTATGAGTCCCACGTTGGGTGGGGCCCACTTTTGGCTGTTATTCCTGTGCCAGGACAATTCTCATTAAAAAATGTGAAGGTATAACATATGAAAAATAAATTACTAAAAAATTAGTGGTTCTACAGACTTCTGTTTTTTCACTAATACACTTTCTCCATTTGATGCTGTTTTCAAAAAGAACATCGAAGCGTTAGACTTTCTGTTTTACTGACAACAAAAAGGAGGGGAGGTTGTGTTGTGTCCACGATCACAATGAAGCTGTAGATCAGACTCAAGTCCAATTATTCCAACTCTAAACCCTGCAATGAATGTTTAAAAATAATCAAGTGTTACAAATACAGAAATATAAAACCTATGAATCTCAGGTTATCTATAAGAGAATTAGATAACAACTTGATCTCTAATCAAGTCTGTTTAAACTCATTTTATGTTTCTATAATGACAAATAACTTACAATTTAATGAAAGGAAAAATAATTTGTGGAAGATCAGTCCTCTTGCTTGCACAAGGAACTATTAGTATTGAAAATATATAAATAGTAAAAGTAACAACTACATTTTTCAATTAATTTATTTTAGAAAATCAAAGGTTTACAATTGGTGCCATAAGGCAAGATATCATTCAACAAGTTAGTAGTAATACAGACTTCCAAAAACCTTTATAGATTTAGTCCAAAGTAGAAAATTATTTTTTGCCCACTCTTGGACTCAGACACATTCAGAAAAAATATATATTTATAAAAATAAAATGGCAAACCTAATCCCACCAAATAATTGATAGTCTTAATATCTCACACTGGTTTACTTGAACAATGTCTGCATAAAGAGAATAGCTATAAGTTTTTTTTTTTACCTGTCCTCTGTATGATACCTCTGTATCATATGAAGCAATGATGAAAAAATGTAAATTATTTTAGAAAACCAAAACCACAAAAGCCCCTGAAACAAAACACAAGAAACATCAACAAAAATCCACTAAACAAAAATACAGTTGTCTAACTACTCACATAGGCCCTTCCTTCAACCTCTAGACATTTGGCTGTTTATGCTATTTCTAAGTCAGAAACCAGGAAAACACTAGGTGTGAGAAGAAAATAAAAATTCAAGTCTAATACACCTCAAGTTTCAGATAAAGTAGCTAGGGAAATATTAATGTGTATGATGAAGCAAATAGAGCAAATAGAAAGGACTGCAAGCTATAATGGGGTGCATAGCTTGATAAAAATATGTATTTTCTTCTTCTGAAATGTAATTAAATATTGTCTGAACACTAGATTTAGCAATAGCAAGTCACCTAGAACTCTGAATTTTAAGATTTAGAAAGAGAATTTTATTGCAACCAAAAGAAAAGACAAAAGGATACTCTTATTAATATGTTCATAATAAGATTCACCAGTGAATGAGGATATCTCTATTATACTACTAGATTCATTAAGAAATTAACTTTACTTGGGTGTAGTTTTTCCTGAAATGAAAATAGCATTTCTACTTAAATGCTGATACCACATTAAAGGGAACAGCATACTACTGAACAAAATTTTTAAATTTGTTTTGTGAGAAGTCTGATAATATCCTAAAGTAGAAACAAATAAAAAGCAAAATTTTAACACAAAAGAAAGAAAATTATTCCTTATAAACCATCTACACGTTTTGTTTTCCTAACAGACACTCTTGAAAAACACAAATAGAATATAGGACAACAGTAGAGAGTTGTGAAAAAGGTAACAGAAAATTAAGGCATTAACTTACTGACAAGCAAGTCTCAGAATACAAAGATCACCAGATGTCTTGTTTGTTGATACATATTGAGCTTTTACTATTTTTTCTTTCTCTACTGAAGTCTTTCATTTTTATAAGTGATGCCTGACAAAGGCCAAAAATGTGCAGATGATGGACATCTGATAATGATAAACATGAAGAAGAAAAGCCATGGCATTTTCTACAATTTCCTACTGTCACTGGTGGAGGCTATGCTTTACATTCCTTATTAGGTTAGACTTGAAGCATGATAGTCACCTAAGCTTTTGTCACTGCTGCAAAACAAGCTCGACCTCTGGGAACATTAATATTTATCCTCCAAAAGAACCCCTCATTACTCTTTGGAGAGGAATCCAATTGTTAAATTGGTAGCATTTAACTATGATATGCTAAAAGAACACATGGATACAATAAAACAATTGCTAGAAACTTCTTAGTAGATACAAGAGTTTCAGTTTAGCTGGGATCAGCATGGCATCAGAAGTAACCAACAGCTGGCTTGAGGACCAAAGCCCTAAACAACTTCAATATCAGGACCATGAGCTGCATATTTTTAAAGTGATTAACACTCATTTTTCAGTGTTTAATAAAAACTATTATATTGTTTAACTCAATTATTCAGTGAATAATCACCCACACAATGGTCATCTAATAAAAATCCTACAAACTTAGCTAAAATGAAGGACTCAAAAATAATCTACAATAAGCACACCATAACTATACTTAAAATAATGCCAATTTTTATCCATTACTCGGGATAGAGTTCTTATTTCATTATAGGGAGAAGAGGAGAGGTCACTGGCTGAAATAGGCGTCAGAAATGAGAGGATGGAGAAGGTAATTGGCAGATCTCTTACTCACTGGATTATCATAAATTTGTTGACAGGCTGATAATGTCACTCATTATGAATATAAACATGCCCATGTTATGTAACAGACATATGTCAATAAATTTTATATATGTGTATGTAAATATATTGTGCATGTGTGTATATACACAGATACACATATACTATGTCATAAGTTACCATATCATAAACATAAAAAATATGATATATATTACTTTTTAAAAAGCAGCAGGAGCTTTTTATCAAAGCAAATTTTTAGAAGAGATTCCAATATATAAAATAGAGAAAAAATAGGAGGCCATTCTGGCTAAAGCAGAGTAGGAGTAACAGAGACCCTCCCCTTCCTACAGTGACCACTGAGACAACTGCTAAGCATGTCCCAGGGTGTGGTTTGAAATCAATGTCCCAAATAAATCCATTTATTTTGCAAAGATTAAACACAAGACTATTTTTTCCCCACTCTATAGACGCATAGGAAATTTTTATAATGCAACTGAGTATAAAGTTAAAGAGGAACTTTTCTTCTCCTTTAAAAACAATAACAAAATAAAATCGCTAAGCTATATAAAACCAAATTATTTTTAAGTCAATCTTAAGTTGATCCATGGAAAAAGTTGTTAGTTCTCCTTTAAAGTGCCTAAATTTTAAAGACTTAATTTTGTCCACGTAAACCTTACCTAAAATATACGAGAAGAATGAATGGTAGGAGGTGAAGGTATTGTTTTTCTTTGTCAAACATGTATCTTCTACCTGACTGACCAATTTAAATATTCTGTCCAGGAATCTTAATGGTGTCACAGAATACTCAGAGAAACATGCAAAAGAACTGATCTGCTGTAACAGTATCTATAAGGTCAACTTTGATGGAGTGTCTGGATTTTTTTTTTTTTTAGACAAACATTTCATCTCTTTGCTCCAAATATGCCCCCATTTAGGAAGGACTACTTTAATCCATGCAAGTAGATATTAGCAAAATACAAATATCATATTCTTTTTTGTAAAGATCATGATTAAATGTCTAAATTCAATAAATAGACTCTTTAATAATTTGAAATCCTATGAAATATTCTACACTAGCAAAATTTCAATCTTTCTTCTTTTCTAATACATCTTTGGGTCCTTGCACCGTAGGCACTAGGGCATCTCCACTCCTTGGCTCCTGTTCTTTGCTTTCTTCTGTTGGTTCTTGGCTTTCAATTTCACTTTTGGATACTTCATATCGTTCTTCTATGTAACCTCCATCTGTGTCCGCTGTGTAGATGCCATAGCACATGATACTGACGACCCCCAGTGGAAGGCCAAAGAGAAAGCAGCCCATCAGTGGAGAGCTCTTGAATATAGACTGTGGGAAGAGAATCACAATTCAGTTCTCCTTGTATGTACTCTGGTATAAGATACATGAATGAATTTCAAACTACGGCAAATTTCTTCCACTTGCTAACCAGTCAACTTGCTTTTAGTTCCAATGAATCAATGTCAGGATCTCTGCAGCAGCTACCATGTTAGAGACACTGTAAGATAGAACTTTTACATGTATGTGTGTGTGTGAGAAAGACCAGCTACCAGCAGCAGAAAAAAAGCACCAAATATTTTATATCCTTTTCTAAGACATTTATCTTCCTCACATAACCATAAATGTCTCTTTGGAGATGGCAACTGCGTGCCCAACAGCTATGTAGTCAGATCCTGGACTACAGCAATGTGCTCACTGCAAAGGCTGCTTATCTACCATAAAAAAGGTACATACACACTCCTCTTCACATGGCATTGAAGATATTTTTTACGTACTGGTTAATGATAAAGCACATTAACTTAATTATTTCCCTCAGTGTATACACAATCCGCTTAGTTCTCAGAAAAGTAAAAGCAATTTTATTGAATAGGTTTTTCAACTATACTATCCTCTGTGGGTTACGACTGTAACTCAGAACTGTGCAAAGTCAGAAGAGGGCAAAGTGACTTTGGGTGGAGGTAACGGAAGATGGCTTCCCAGAATAAAGGTGTTTTGAGGCAGAAATTTAAGCATGAGTAAGAATGAGGCACTGTGAGAAGCAGCAGGAAGCACCAGAGAAGCTTCTGCAATTATTCGAAAACTAGTGAGGCCATTTGAGATGACAGATATTCCCATATGTGTTGATGGAAAAGGGAAGGAAAGTGATAATAGACCATTCTGGTAACATTCATTGTGTGGTAGTGTACAGAATGGATGGGAGCTGGGGTGACAGCAAGTGAAGTTAGAGCAGCAGCAGACAAAATGTCCTAAGGGCTTATTTTGAGGATTTCTACTTTGATGACTGCTTTTGGCCTTAATGAAAATGCCCATGGAGTAAGTAGCTAAACAATTAGAACTAAGTTTAAGGCCCAAACAAACTTAGGCATGCCTCTGCTGTCAAGCTGACCTAGAGTTGAAGCAGGTTCAGATTCAATGACTAAAAAGGGCAGGAGTTGGAAAGAGACTCTGGAAAACATTTTTAAAGTCATGCCAGTGAGGTAACGGATTCTGAATCCCAGGTAACTCACCCATCACGCAGAAAGGAGTACTTAGAGAAACTTAATTTCCACCTGAAAAAGATCTTTTTAATGTAAATATGGACTAGTTTCTAGCTTTCAAATTAAAGATGTATCTTTACCTAATCCTTTGAAATTTCAGATTTACCCTCAATTAGACATAAAGCAACTATATATATGTATATTCTCAATAATCCATGACACTAAGCAGACCATCACAACTTACCACAATAGTAGATTTGGCATCAAATACTATCCTCTTCAATCTCTGCAATATGCTATCACCTCCTTGGGCCTTGAAATTAACAGGGGAAAAAAACCCACAATTAAATTATTATTTAAGTACTAAGACTTTATTTTTGTTATATAACTTTACAACTGCAGGTCAAGGGTTGACCTCAGGAGATTATGAAAAGCACCTGAAAGAGCCATGCTGTATATATTCACAATTTTTTTTTTTTTTTGTCCCCTGCTTTCTTGTGTGAACACACTCTGATCCTCTTCTGAAGAATTCAATCTCAAGCCTGCCCGATTTTGGAGTTCAGCTGAGCCTGTTAAACAATAACTGCTGTAGGACATCTTTGTGATTGTGTAAGGAGAGTCTCCCCAAGAATGGCCCTCCCCTCACCTCAAAAGTGCTGAAAGGCAGAGAGAAAAACTTCTGATGCAAATATATCAAATCTCTGCATTTGGCCATCCCTGAAGTCTGGCTCAGTGCTTGAATTCCCAAACTATATGAGCCTCTCCTTGTCAAACAGTTTGAATTGGGTCTCACTAGCTCACACGTAGAAGAATTCTCACTCATAGAGGTGAGTTTTATTTCAAGTAGTATTATTTTCTCAACTAAAAAATTTCTACTATGTGATTGTTTCTAAAAAGAAATGCTTGTTCTTCTGTGAGCTAACTTTCAAACAAAGTTTGTAAAAGCTGAAACAAAACGCTCACAAAATAGTAATTTAACTTCATAAAATCCTAGAAGTCTCATACTTTTTTTCTATTTCATTCTTGTCTGTTGAATTAAGATGCATGCTGGTCACAATGTCCTGAGGCAACTTCATGGCCCTATAATATGGACTGCAATCCACAGTTTGAATAACACTACAGTAAGATTTATAGAAAAAAATGAAAAGCTAAGACTGTCTATTATTTCTGAGAAATATTTTATATAAATGGATTTGGAACTCTCCCCTGAAGCTCTGATTCTCAGCATATTTCCTTAAGAAACTGTAGTCTTATACACAGGTTTTCTTAGAAAAGCAATCTGAATAACTTAATCCAATTATACTCTTGAACCCAGAAAGGTTAAGGGCCAGGAAATTTCACTCCTGGGATAGCTCTGCACACTGAAGACCTCTCAGCAGCCATAGCCTGACTCCAAATGGCAATAGCACCTCCCACTCACTGTGACAATCAAAAATGTCTTCCAAATAACCCTAAAGGAGACCTTTGCAGCTATGAGCAGAATCTTTCACAGAGAACCTTCTATGTCTCTCAGAATGTGGTTCTGTGACAGGAGACAAGCAAGGTGGGGAGGACTGCCCCTCACACCCCAGGTGATTGCTCTTCTTTCCAGAATCAGAGGAGAAGAAAGTTTGTTTCTCCCCGACCTCCTCCTCCCACCATCCCTTTGAAATGGAGTCATCGACTCACCTCCACTGTGCCATCCAAGATGTTATTAATGAACTGCACCATGTCCTCGGCACTCTTGATCTGTCTATCTAGTAAAAAGTACTGTTGGTTGGAAGTATTTAGTACAACCACCGTTGGGACTTTGAGTTCACTGAAACAGAAAAATAAAAGAATCAAAATACACATTAAACACTGAGATGACAAGTATTTTGATATTCATTTATACTGTATCTAAGTAACTATAATTACAAAAGGGGGAAGCTGCATTAATGGCTTTGCCTCCCTATGCTCACATGAAGAAAATCTCAAATTGTCCATCAGTTTACAAAATAGCTAAATTTAGATTATAGCAAAAACACTCTAGGGCACTGGGTGGCTCAGGCTGATGAGCATCTGACTCTTGATTTCAGCTCAGGTCCTGATCTCAAGGTCACGACATCGAGTCCCATGTTGGGCTCTGCACTCAGAAGGGAAATGGCTGGAAGTCTCTCCCTCTCCCCTTCTCCTTCTTTATTAAGGAAAAAAAAAGTGAAAGAATATATTCTAATATATAATATCAGAGAGCTGAGTATTTGCTTAAACTGAAGGCTAAAAATTATGTATGAAGTATCAATTTCTGGGCAATCTTATTCTGCCATCCACATACCACCAGTGTTGGTCACACACAGCCCGTTCTGGGTAAGTGGCACTAGGGAAACAAGACAGGATAGAGCATCATCTCTGCAGCCACATGGCTTGAGCCCAGAGCTTTCCCATAAGTCAGGTTTCTAGGCCTCATGCTTGTCATTTATAAGTGAATAAAAGGGAGTAGTAGGAGGGTATCTATATTGTAAAAATTAAGTGAGAAAACTCCAATTTAAACACTCAGCACACTACCTTGTGTTCAATAGACACTCTTCCAAATTCTCTGAACTCCCACTATCCCACTACACATCCCAACACATCCTCAGGAAGTGCTCACTGATGTACTAGACATCAATTCAGTTTGCAGACACAAAACATTACTAATAGGGGCCATTTAATTGAACTAATTATTTTTTCCTTCCAAGGATAGGCTGTTGCACAGTCATAAAAGGAAGGGAAGTGCTTAATTCTGTATGTCACCTACACATGGGTTTAAGGTTATTTGTATGTCTATATGAAAATATTATGTAAAAGTACAAAACTCTAGAGTAGCAGCAATTCACACCACTGTATTACCACCACATGAGTGAGTTCAGCAGATGGCTTTCTTGCTCCTAATTCTCTACTCTCCCCATGCAATGCTCTTTTCCCAGGGAGGCAAAACACACTCATGTGACTCCTCATATGTTGGGTTCAGCCATGAGACATATAGCCAAGGGCAAAGTAACATGTGACTCAAACAGAGGCTTGAAATGTGAGTGCATGGGTAGGCTTGCTTGCCTGTGTTTCTGTGACTGCCACATGATGACCTCCCAGGAAAATATCCTTCCAGGATCAAGGACATGCAAAGACTGCAGACCTGAACCTCAGTGGCAGTCTGGAGCCATATCTATCTGTGCCCAGGCAATATCAGCCAAGCCCAGGTAAGTGAGAGAAAGTAAATATTACAGCTGGAAGTCACTGGGTATTAGAGTGGTTGATTATCCAGAATTATTATTAGGCAATAGTTAGTTGATTATATAATTAAAAAAGAAAAAAAAATTTAGCTTCATTCTTGTTCATAAGACTAGACAACTTTCTGATTTATAGCAGTTTAGTTATTAGTTATAATGCATACGTAGCAAAAAAAATTCCATTTTTACACAATAGATCAGAACGTGGCCTGCCTATAAAAATACATATTATAAAAAAGTTAAATACACAGTGGGACTAGAATTCAATAATTTGAATAATGATGGAAAGGGAAAATATAATTTCATCCTATTCCCTCTTAATTACATTCACAAGAACCACCCCCCCAAAAAATATTTAACAAATCTAGGGTCTGATAGTACCCTATTTATTTTGAGACAACGTAAAAAACATAGTGCTGCCGTATAACTATCTTACAAAATATCATGTATTTGCCCTAAGTTAAAACCCCTTTCAGCATCAATACCTATTAAATGCTACTATTTATCTGACAATATTAATGTCACAGAAGAGCTTTGGAGTAAGAGAGATCTGGATTTGAGAACTGGATCTCTTTAACTTACTTGTTGGGCATCCTTTGGCATATTATTTAACTTCCTTGAGTTTCTTCTAAGAAATTTCAATTTCCTCATCTATATAAAATGGAAATAATAATAGTACTTACACCTTACTGAGTTATTGTAAAAGTTAAAAAATACCTATTGACCACTCAGTCCAGTGTCGGTCACAGAATTAAGTGCTCAATAAGGACTTTCAAATATAATCACGTAACCATCATCATATGCTTTCTCTTCTTTTGAAAAAGAAAATAAAAAGCAAAATATGAATAAAAAACAAACAAAACAACACAACAAGGTGTTGGTGGTAGAGATTACTGTTGTTCTTGGACCACAACTGAAGCTCAAAATTTCTTTCTCACAACTCACATTAACAATCATACTTATGAAGGAATATCCATCCATCTGTATATATTCCGAATATCATCCTGGATCAAGGAGTTGTCTCTTGGACCCAAATTCTTTCAGCCTTTTACAACGTTTTACTGAATGCTGGCTTGCCTTGAAGGACATTGTAAGAAACGGTTCTGTCAAATTCCCTACTATATATACTGTAAAAATCCTATCAAAAATATATTTCTATTATAATATCCCCCTCTTTATGAGATTATATAAGGTCTGTCATACTCCTTATGACCAAGTTATTTTACAGGCTACAGGAAATATGTAAATAATGTTTTTCTACTCTTGAATATTAAATATTCAGGACCAAAATTTTCAAGTACCTTCAGTAATGACCTATAAATGATAAATACCTAAAATAATACAGATCCTTTATTTTATTTTCCTTTGTCTTGATTCCTTGGTTATATATTATATCACATTACTTTGTATCACTGGTAAACACTCTCAAATTCTTACTGGACTAAGAAGATAATAAATATAAATGAACAGAAATAAAAATACTTTATAATTTTAGGCTTTTAACTGGAAATTATGAATGTTACTTGTAAGTTTGGTTTGTATTTCCTCAGTGCTCTTACTTGGAAAATGGAATAATACCCTAAAATGTGAATGAAGGCAACTGCCACACCTTTGCTGCTAAGCAAAGCTAGAGAACACCAAAACAGAGCACAATGCTGTGAACTCAAAATGGAACCTCAACACCGCTGGACAAGGTCACTTGTCTCTAGTGAGCTTTCCCCATCTTCACTTCAGGGGCTATTTTACAACCCCATTCTCTACAAAGCCCCATTTCCTTATCACCTCTTGTGTGCTATAGTGCTCTGCCTAAAATAACTTATCTTAATGACTGCCTCCTCTGGCAAACATTTTCTGATCCCTTCCACTTTTTTTTTTTTTTTGATCCCTTCCACTTTTATGTGCCTTGGGGTGTGGTGGGAGCCACTCTGTTTCCAGAAACCTCTACTGCAATGAATTTTTCATACAGTTTTGCAATTACTATGTTGTCCTACCCAGCAGACTACAGGCATTTTGAAGACAGGAGGAACTCTACTCTTTTTCTGTGTCAACAGTACTAAACACAGTGTGTGATATACAGTAAACCCTTACTAAGGGTCTACTGCATTGAGTAGATTCCTATTTGAAATTAATTTAGTATAAATATGCTAAATGTTTTCTAACAACTTTTTGAAGTGACAAATCAGATTTTTATGTCATAAACACAACTGATGGAATTATTTTAAAATTGTGTATTTTCCCTATAAAGTTATTTATACTTTCTTAATTCTTCTCATATGGCAGTTAAGACTTAAATGTAAAAATTTTCACTTAAATTACATTTACTCACTGAAACTGACCTTAAGGTAAGATGCGTGTTAAACAGAAACTACAAGATTTAAAAGTTTTGAATGCTATCTTCTTTCCAAAATATATGAAATTTAGAGATAGGTATTTTTTAATATAGAACAATATTAAAGTTTAATGTGTTTCAAATTTAGACTTAAAAACTAAAGTGAGATATTTGATGGGAGGATATCTGCTTTGTATATATGTAGACTTCCTTTTTTGCTTCCCACCTAGTAATGCTTTTATCTCTCAAAAACAGAAACTTAAAAATTGACAGATTTGGTAGCAGTCATTTAAACATTTAGAACTCTACTTACTCCATCAGCAGGGTATTTATATAGTCATTTCCATCCATATGGCCAAACTGAAAATCTCTAACCAACAACAATCAAGAGAAAGAGAGAGAGAGAGAGAGAGAGAGAGAGAGAGAGAGACATTAGATACAAAACAAGGTAAATATGAACCAAGAACTGAACTTCAGGGTATGGTTAGCATGTAAACACTGTAAATGTTCAACATATAAGTTACATGAAATAAATGTAGAAAAGAGTATGAATTCTACTGGCTTCTGAGATACAAATACACGTGAGTAAAATTAAACAAATTCTAAGATATTTCTACTTTACATGTATTTAAAATGCAGGGCAACATAAGCTTTTCTAAGTAATATATATTTAAGAAAAATTAAATCCACTCTGTTTAAAAAAGGACAAATAAGAAGATGTTCATACTATGGAACAGGAGAAATATAAACATATATCACTGTTGTATCACTAGAAGACTCAGAATAAAAAGGGAATAACAAATATTGTAACAAATTTATACTGACTGTCTCTTATGGCAGTAAAAAAAAGAATGACTTGGCATAAAACAAAAAGTCATTCTCTGAATTCCTGTTATAATCATCGGTCTATAACTTGTGACTATTCAATTTAACTTAAATCTCAAATTTATGAGTACATGTCCATATTTTCTTACCACAAATGTATCCCAAATCCTATCGTAAAGCAAGTATGATACAAAATATAAAGGAAATCTTATTTGCATGACATACGTCAACAAATACCAAGTCCAGATAATTCATATGGAAATGTAACATACAATAATTCACTTCAGTATCTTGATTCACCTTTAAAAGTATAAAATAGTACTACTTTTGTTTTATTATATTACATAATTAAAGAAAGATAAAGGAATCTTCCTGAATGTAAGCACATACCTGTGGAACTGGTCTCTGTAATCTCTAGCAACTTCCTGAATAATTGACTTTAATCTGTGAAAGAACACATGAATGTTTCATCTCTTTGCTTCAAAAATATATTATCATTTTCCAACTATAATAGCTGCTGCCTTATCTAATACTGTGGGGAAAAGGAAGATGCCATATCAAGTTTATCTGAAGCCATGTAAAGTCTGAATTAGATGGTATTTGAAGCTTAAAACTATTTCAAAACACTATACCTGGTGTGTTCAATTGATGTATTTTTCTCATCAATAACTGCAATAGCCACAAGCTTTCCTGAAATTAAGAATGACATATCTAAATTCAATAGCCCTCATTATACAAACTTTTCAATTATTACTGTAGCTGTGAATCGGAATTAGTAAATAATTTCTAGAATTTAATTCCAATTATCCTACATGTTACGCACAGTAGAATGAATCAATGAATTAGTCAATTCAAAGTGAGATGTTCCCTCCCACCTCCCATCCCACAAATGTAAATAATAGTAAATATTTAATAATTTATATATTCAAATTGTACTGTTTTCACACTACTGACAAACTAAATTACATACTTTGTCAAAAGCTAGGATATTAAGAAATAAATTTATTATTAATTGATAAAAGAAATTTATTAATTACTGTAGCTCTAAAAGAATGACCTCTAACAAGAGAAAGATTTTTACATGCTATCCTTGCAGTACCATGGGTTACTACTTGCTAGTAATAATACACAGAACAAAACTGATTCAAAATTTACTGAACCCTAAATACAACATAAATCACATCCATTTCTAATATCCTCTAGGAGACAGCACGACGTAATAACTAGAGCACTGCTCCTGGGAGTCAGAAGACCAGATGCTGCATTTCAGTATGCATGTTCTGGTCTAGGCCAGGGGGAAGAGCTGTGAGGCACATTTATTAGCTATGGGTCTTAGCTGCAGAGTGATGAACACACACACACACACACACACACACACACACCTCTGAAAGAGTGGGAACTACAGTCTAGTAGGGAAAACAACAGACAAATAGAGATCATTTATGACACACAAACAGATGTACGGTTAACAATGAGAAGAGTTCCAAAGGAAAGTAACAGGTGCTATGAGAGAGTACTGTAGAGTAAACATAAGTAGTTTGAGGGGATCAGTAAAAGATTGTCTTAAGAATTAGCATTTGGTCTGACTTTGATGAATGAAAATAAACTATACCTTCCAGGTATAAAGGTGCACTCGTGCAAAGCGCACAGCCTTTTTAAGAAAACGGAGAAGTCAGTATGGCTGAAGACGGTAGAGTGAGGAGATGGAAGATTCAAGTGGGGGTCAGAAGACGCAGGGACCCTCCATCACCAGCGCTTCTGAGAAAGAACATGACATGTCTGAAGCCACCCAGAGCCAGGATCTCTTGTGCTTATGAGGTAAGCAGCCAGATGGGACAATGAGCAGAATCAGAGCCACAGCAGCACAACGGAACAAGGGCAATTATGTTGTACAAAACGGGAACATTCCATAGCCAACTTCTTTCCAAATTAATCTGGGAGAAGAAACTATTCGAGTAGAGCCAGAGCTGTCTACTTTAATTACTTCAAGGTAATGCTGTCTCCTATGATTACCAAACCGAAAGCAAAACTACTGAAACTACTGTATTCCTCCTCTGTTCCCCTTTTCATCAGTCTGTAAAAATCCAAAAATAAACTCACAATCTTTGACAGTGTTCACACCGACTTCTAATACTGAACTACCACACACCTCTCTCTATAGCAATAAGCAAAGACAGAAATGTCACCGGACACAGAACATGAAAAAGCAGGCTCAGGAGCCAGAACAAATATCCTAAGTTTGAAAATAACATGGGAACCTATAGCATTTCTAATTTGTATTCTTAATCAGATTCAAAAGCAAGAAATCACGAAGACGGAACTCTATGCACACTACTTCTCATACAAAGAAAATGAAACTTGAGCAAAATTTTCCCATTTTTAAAATCTAAAACCGTATCTCCATCCCACTTATCATGAAGTTATGAATGAAAACAAATGTGACAATACCTATGATTTCTCCACTGTAATTCATTATAAATTTACAAAACACCTCCTCTTAAAACTTACAGGGTTAGGCCTCTTAGAATTTTGGTAGTTTGCATCTGAGACCCTATAGTTAGCTTTTGTTTTTGCATCTATAAATACATTTACTTTGCTCATCATTTTTGATCATATGCCACTGGTGTGGTGCCCATGTTTTCGTCACAAGTAAAAGCAGGCCTCAAAGGTGGTGAGGAGTTGTATCCCAATTCCTATTACAAAATCAGCTCTTAATATAGCTTCTTGGTTATTTCTTCTCATTTCTTTATTATCTAGGCTCTGCTCTTCCTGTCACTTCAGTTCTAACTAGGAAATCTTTTCTAACTCATCTTTGTTTCCCATACAAATATTTGCTCTTTGTTAATATTAATGTCTATTCTCATGAAAAAGAACTGGCATTCAGGTCTTAAAAAGCAGTAAAATTATGAAAGAGAGCTTAAGATTTATTTCTCACAGAATCAGATTTAAGAAATCAATTAAGGAAAAATCATGCAGAGTGATGGAGAATTGTATATATACGCTTGTTACCGGTATCTCCCAGTTCATATAAGAGGAAGCCATCCACAGTCAGGTAGTTTTGAAACCTCTCCCTGTTGATCCAAGATGACAGATCACCATCCTCGTATTCTTAAAAATTAAACAAAGCTAATAAGTTATATGCAATAAGAGTTTAAAATGTTTATAATGTTCTAATCTAGCAATATGTATAAAATGCCTTGACACAATCATAGTCTTAAATTCATAAAATTAATTTTTAGAGATCTATTCTAAGGAAACAATGAGACATACAAAAGGATTAATACACAAAGCAATTCTTTACTAGAACATCATTAAAAACAGCACAAGACAGATAAATAAAAATATAGGAAATAAGTGAAAGACCCTAGATAAGAAAAAATTTAAACAATTTTGGTACATAATGAGGAAGACTCTTCATTTATAGATTCTTTTTAATTAATAATTTAGTGGTAAAGCAGGTTGCAAAACAATACTACAGCATGACTGTAGCTTTGAAAACACAAAGTATGAAAAAAAACCTGACAGAATGATCAAATGAAGGCGAACATTCCTACCAAATGGCTATCCTAAAAAAAAAAAAAAAAAAAAAATGGCTATCCTGGGTTGACATTTATCCTTGAATGGTGGCAGTATCGTAACTTACTACAATTTCTTTGCTCTTCTCTATTTTATGACATTTCTTCCTCAGCTTAGAACCCTTTCTCATATGTAAAACTAACACATTTAAAGCCATTCAACATCAAATTCTCCTGCTAAGCAGATAAAAAACATATGTAATATCAAGAGAAATATTATGTCCTGATTAGAAATATAATTCTGAAGTAACTGTGAACAATTATTATAACTGCATAAAAAAGAAGGTAATGTAAAAGGCTACCAATATGTTTGGTGGAAAACTGGATTTTAATGATTTCTTGGAAGATGTGCTTTTTCTGTCACTTGCATTGCTAAACAAAACATTTTCAAGTTACCAAACCTATAAAATAAGTGACATAATACGAATCTGAAAGTATTTATGGATTTGAACTTACAAATTAGAAAAATAAGCATAAAACTAGGAGTTGAGTACGGGGCCACAATCTCTATTCCAGGTCAAAAGCAAATGTTTTAAGATTGCACCAAGTGATATATCTGAAATACAGAAAATAAACTATCCTTCTAAGTCCCTACCCCAAAGCTTCTAAACTTCATGACAACAATTAAACATTAGAATAAATATTCAAGATAAATTCTGTGTGTTATCTGAAGACTTTGGGCAGGTTCTAAATACTAACTGCTGCATGTTAAAGAATGATGGTCCCTCACAAGAGCTACAGATACTTCACCCATCTTCTTGTGCACTCGAGGGAGGGCACATCTGAGGGCATATCTGAAATGTGGAGAGAAGAGGAGGTGCACTTTCTTAGCCATGATTAAAGAACATATTAACATCTAAACAGATATGATCAGGCTTGTTCCAAAAACAAAGTGGCTTTCTGAAGTGTGAATAAACTCACAGGAGAACTAGAACAGGAGATCTGAAAGCAGACACTTGATTATACTATCAATTATTTTAACTTGGGGGAGAGAAAAAAACCTCTTTAATCCTTTTACTTGTAAAATAGTAAGAATACTGATCTCAAAAGCATGGTTTTAATGACAAAATAAGACAATATAAGCTAAGTGCTTATCATTCAAGCAGTGTAGTAATCAAAGAGCAAATGGATAGAATCGGTGCAGATATGCACTATTTTCTTTCTCCTATTTTCATATATCCAAGTTCCTCTAAACTTCCTTTTCAAGCCCAATATCTAATACAATCAATAAGTATCCAGTGAGCAAATGAATGAACCTGTGATTTAATTATACATCTATCATCTTATCTAACACTCTTAATTATCTCTTTCATAATCTCAGGACACTCATCTGCCTATCTACCCTTCCAGATTATGGCAAGGATAAAATGAAAATATCACGTACATAATTAGTACCTGCTGCATAAAATGTAACAAATAGTAGTTGTTCCACTACAGCAAAAATTAAATTCACATTTATTTAAAAATAATGAAAACAGGAGATTTTAGATTTTAGATTTTTTCATGATTGTTAAAATAATTAAATATTCATTTTACTAAAAAAATCAGAATATTCCTTTTATTAGATATTCTATTCATTGGAATTATTTACGTAATCCAAAGTTTACAGCTCTCAAGTAGTTCTAGTTTCTTTTCTGTTATAAAATAACAACATTCTACAATTTTTCTGTAATGAATACAATATTCCATATCTGTACTCTCCAACACGGTAACAAAAAGCCACACAAGGGCATTGAGTATTTCAAAAGCAACTAGCAGAAATAAACTGAAGTGTCTAGTTTATTAAACTGTAACTTAGAAAGTTACAAAGAAGGTTATTAGGCATAACTTTGCATTCACTTTTGCTTTTGGGTGGCTATATGGTATCTAACAGATGTTGAGTTTCACTGTTTCCCTTTGTATTTAAAATTTCTCTTCAAGCCCCTGTGATTTTGCTACACTGGCCTGAGGTACCTCAATGCACAGTTTGGGGATTGTGGAAGTAGGTATTTGATGATGCCAAGAAATTTTTGTGAATTTTATTAAGTATTATAACAGCAGGTAGTTATTCTATTGAAAAAAAAAAGGACATCTTTTAAAAGATGCATAATGAAGCACCTGGTGATGAAAAAAACCTCTAGGGTTTGCTTTAACATACTTCAACAAACAAAAAAAATTGTTGAAGAAAATATGGTAAGATCTTGGTAATTGTCTAAACCCGGATGATGGGTACATACAGAGGATTTTACTATTCTAGCCATCTCTTTATTTTTATTTTTTTTAAAGATTTTATTTATTTAGTTGAGACAGAGAGCTACAGAGAGAGAGCATGAGCAGGGGGAGAGGCAGAGGGAGAAACAGACTCCCCACTGAGCAGGGAGCTGACAATTCCAGACTTCATTCCAGGACCCAGAGATCATGACCTGAGCTCAAGGCAGATACTTTAACTCACTAAGCCACCCAGGTGTCCCAGCAGTCTCCTTATTATGATGTATGTTTGGCATAACAAATGTAGACCAAGTATTTAACTTCATTGAAGAAATGCTGACTAGCTGGTGAGTGGTTAGGGGGAGAAGGAAGGAAGAAAGAGAGGGAGAGATGAGGCTAGGAAAGAATATACCCCCCAAGGGGCTTTGCCACTACTGAAGGGGTTTTATTTCTTTACCTTTTTGTGAGTCTAAGATGTTAGATCCCTTTTTTTATACGAATAGTTTTGAATGTTTTAAAATAACAGCAATTGCATACAGTTCATGTCTCAAAAGTCAAATGACCTGACCAACCCCCTCCAAAAAAATCATTGTAGGCAGAACTCAGAAAACACATTAGATGTTAAAACTAAAGTTGAAGGGGAAAAAAAATCTGTCATTCAATTAATGGGAAAGGCAAAAAGTAGTTGCATCTACCAAATCTTTCATCAATACCTAAGTCCTATAATAGCCACAGTGTTTTAATTTTAACATGTTTTACATGAGTTACAACTTTGGAACTTACCATCATAAATAAAGTAAGTTTCATCTTTGAAAACAAGCACAGCTGGCATCTCCTTCAGTGTCACATACTGCAAAATCAGATATGTAAATACTTTGTATCATTGAAAAAATTTTAATTGGTAGCTATGATTTCAAAAGTATTGAAAAATGCCAGAAAAAAAGCCACGAGAACGAAACCGTTACAGTTAAAAAGAGCACAGGCGATCCAACCTCATCCAAGGACAGGTTTATCTCTTTATACATCTCCTGGCCCAGTGCTGTTTGTTAGTATGAAAACCACAGAATATTCTTAGAGTTGGTAACAGACCCAAAGATATCAAAGAAGTACAGTAGGAGACACACTCTGAGGTGGCTAAGGTAACAATCAGCACTGGGTAGGTTTGAGTCCTTCCTCAACATTCCTGGGCTTTGTGGCATGGACTCCATTGCTGTCCTGGGGAGTTGGCTTCATTCTCTGTGAATCAAGGAAACGGAGTCTCCACCTCACCATAGAGTTAGGGAAGTCAGATCCACTAACATACGTGAGAGCAAGTTTAAAATGCAAATTGGCTTTAAAAATGGGAATTTATAATGGCAATTAATAATATATTATTTCAGAAGGTACCTGCTTCTTATACCTGTGCTATAATTATTTAAAAATACTAAAATTATAAAGAAATCAGTTTCCATACAGAAGAGATATAATTGGGTGAGCCATATAGAATTATTACATGATGTGGTAATAAGTGAAAAGTAACAACAAATAACCAACTGATAGCTAATAAAATAAAAATAACTGCCAACAGGATAAAAATAAAGATGGCTGTCCTTGAAGTATGGAGAAGACGGGAGGCATACTTCAGGTAATTAATATACAATGATCTCTTACATGACTACTAAAAAATGGTACAGCATCACAAAAATAAGTATTTGAAAGTCAGCAGTAAAGCTTTTAGGTAAGGTTCTATCATCAAGTAAGCCTCTGCTCATCTGCTCTTGGCAACTCATTCACAAAGGTGCTCTGGAAGTATTTTAGAGCATCCAGCATGCCTCTCTTTCAATGCCGGAGTTGGCCACATCATAACATTACTACGGAGATGGAATCTTGCAGCTATTAATTTCCACATATTCTGAATCCCTCTTTCTCTTGCTTTCTGTTCCTTAAACTTACTATATTACAGTTGTTTGCAGGCTGTTTTTCTCCATTCACCTCTAAATATCCTGAAGTCAGAAATTATGTCAATTCATCTTTGTATCTCCTTAACATACTTATGAGGGCTTTCATAAACACTAGCTGTAAAGCTAAGGAAGCTTTGCATGACCAAACATTAAAATTAAAAATATGGGGGGGGGGGATATAAAATCATGGGTTTTGTCCTTATTTGAAAATTCTCTATGGGAGTAAAAATCCTCATATTACCCTGAAAGAACACTGACTCCCCCTTAGCAGACTTTTACAACCATATATACAGAACTATAAAAGAGATGACAAATATTGAGATTTGCAAGAATAACTAAGGAATGTTTGAGGAAACTAGTTGAGAGGTCAATAATAAAAAACAACACATAATAAGCAAAAGTGTGCCCACATAGCAGATACTGTTTATGCTCATCCACACAGATGTTCCAGGCCCTAGAATTCTGATCTAAGACATGTGTCACTACTCGAGGACTGGGGTGAGTGTCAGATGGTGTCAGGGCCCAGGAGGCAGGTGCCCTCTGGAGCACTCCCAGTAAACTGCTGGGACAGCTTCACAGGAGAGGGTACAGTGTACATTCTCGCCTCTCATACTAACATTGGGCTTTGGAGAAGAGAATGGACTAAACGGCCTGGGCCTAGAACTAGATTCCATCCATTCTAGGCCTTTACATCACACTGAGAGATCTTAAGACATTTTAGAATAGAGCTTCATAACCTTTTGAGGCATCTATTTGAGAATCTAATGGCAAATATAGCTCTCCTCCTACCCTATCTTCTCTTCCCCTTCAAAAGAAATGCATAAAATACTGCAAATAACTTATGAGACCAAACTAAGTAAACCTAAAAATGAGTTTAAGCTGACCAGATCTGTCTGAAGTTTTCCCAAGGAACTGAAAATCATTTCAGAATACATTTATAAGATAAACATTTATGAAAAAAAAGATAAACATTTATGTACACATTGCAAGAGCACTACACATATATATTCTAGGTGATTCTGCAATCTTCTTAAAAATATTTAAATATTAAAAAATGTCAAACAAAAATTAATCAAATGTGTAATATGAAATAACTTTGTGGGAAAAAACTGTTTTGATTTTTTGTAACCTATACTGATTAAAAAGAAAAAGCTTCCCTTGACAATTAATTTCATGTTTCCTGTCAGCTATTGCAATTTCTCAGGTTCCTTTCTCAGGAAAACTTTTCCAAAGAGAAGTCTATACCTGTAACTTACAATTTCTTACCTGCATTCTCTCAAATGACACCAATGAGGCACCTGTACTTCTTGTAAAACCACCAATAACCTCCATGTGTACAAGTATCATAGTTACTTTCTTCAACTCATTTCGATCACTTTCCAAGTATCTTGTACAACTGATCCTCTTTTTAAAAGTATTTATCTTGGCTTTCCACCCATCTTGTTTTCCTACTCTCCAGCTACTTTCCTTTGCAGTCTTTAGCTCATGGGCCCATTTATTTGCTTAAAAATTTGCATCCCATGTCTTAGAAGTTTATAGAGCCTTAACGCCAGACCACTATATCCAGCTGTGAATTTGATGCTTGTATCTGGATGTCTAACTAATATGCTGAACAGGCTAAAATAACCAATTCAAAGCTCTTGATCATTCCCGCATTCCCAAACTTGTTTCTTCTGCAGTATTCCCAAGCTCATAGATTAACATTACCAATTACCCAGTTGTTAAAACCAAACACCAAAGAGTCACCCTTGGTTCTTCCCTGCTCCTCCGGGTCAGCAAGCTCAAACAATTCCATCTCTAAAAAACAACAATGCTTTCACTTTTCCCCCCATCCCTTTACAAACCTCCAAGCTCAAACTCTGCAGATTACTTCAAGAGTTCAACTGATCTCTCTGGATCTATTCTTCTCCCTATCCAATTCATTCTGTTCTCAGCAGAAAAATGTCCTTAAGATGAATGTCAGATCAAATCCTTCACTAACTTCAACCCATCACATGCATGGTCATGACCTGCAAGGTCTTCACTGGTCTCTGCCTACTTCCTATCTATCTCCTTTCTCAAGCCACACCGGCCTACTACCTATTTCTCAAATATGCCAGCAGTGTTCTTATCTGTTCCCTGTTTCTAGTTTATTCTGGGCACAGATCTTTGCATGGCTCCTTCACATCATATATATCCCAAATCAAATATTTTCTTCCCAGACAGACATTTCCTGATCAACCAATCCAAAGAAGTCACCTACTCTCATGCCCCTGCTATCACAATAGCAGTTATGGCAGTTATATCCTGTTTACGTATCTGTTTACTGAAAAATACTATCCCAGTCTAAGGACCCAAAAGCTGTAACCTGCAACACTAACATTTAGTACACTTCCTCTCCCCATGAGAATGTAAGCTCCACCCTATCAGGACCCTGAAGATCCTACTTGTCATCAACTATTCAGGACTTAATACAGGGCACGGCACAGGATGAGATAAGCAGCATCTATAAATTAAGAGATATAAATACATTAACCATTCCATTACTTATAAACCAATTTAATAGTTTGAGTTCTCACTTCTTACTACCACTGTTATTTTAAAAAGAAAAAAAAATCAACATAATAAACATAATTACTAAATGCTATGAATCCAGTGGTATTTGCTTATTAACAATAAGCAATCTGGTGCCAGAAGTAGAGATAACATGTTTACTGTTTCTACACATATGACAGTAAATAAATCTGATAAATATAATCAAGTAATAACTTAAAAAGTGGAATTAAGTCATTAAAATCCAATTTTAAACGTTACCTCAGGAACCACTTCTTCTGAGGCAGAAAAGAAGTATGTATATACAATTAATTCTGAAGCAGCATCTATGTATTTCTCCTGTGAAGTTACAAATAGAAAAGAGGTGACCTTTAAACATTAAAATCAGAATTCATTCCTCATTAAACATTCAGAGAAAGTAGTATCATCCTCAGCAATATCATACCAATTTGATGCCATAAGCATTTTTAACGTGAAAAGACGATGGAATATAAGCAGCAAATGAAATATACGGTTTCTAAAGCAAAAAGACTACTGATACTTAATATTTTGACACTCCTCTAAATAAAGTATAATATAAGCTCAATTCATATTAATTTAATTTGATAGTTACAGGAAGATGCACATATATAAACACACGCATGCAAAATGATCTTCAAAAAGTTTCAAAAAGTTTACATTCAGACTGCACTCCATAGTCACAAAGAGCCAAAAATGCTAAAAAGTAAGCAAAATTTGAATAACCCTGTCAGTAACAACAGAAATACTAAAGCAAGCATCATCTGTTTTATGAAGGCAAACACAATAGAGAGCAAATAAGAAAGTGTTTTGTTAGAAAAATGCTTAGATTGAACTAAAATATTTCCAATAAGAGTGAAATAATTGAGTTTGGATCAAGTTTTGGGAATAGAGAAAACTAAATTACATTTGTATTTGTGAATTTAAAAAATAAACTCAATTGATACCTTCAAAGGTGACTCTCCACCAATGTAAACAAAAAATACACGATGTCTCTTTTGCACATGTTCAAACATTTGCTGACTTGGAAGTGGCCGAATTAGAGCCCTGTTTGAAAACAAAACAAACAAAAAACAAATCTGCACTTGAACATAAGACAGTATATAATTTACATCTGAAGTTACAAAGTTTTAATGTTGTATTAACTGCATTTTAAGTCATCACCCAATCTACATATATCTAATAAAACTTTAGCCCATGACCACTACTGTACTCACATAATGAAAATAAAGTACCAATTTAAGCTATCAATTAAAAACAAATTAAGTTTAAAATACAACCCTTTAAAGAATACCATCTTAGTCAATATTTTGACAGGCAAGACAGACCTATAATCCATTTAGAGTACTTAGCTAAAAACAAATGATCCACAAGAGAATTCTTTTTTCCCTTTCATAAGATCATATACAGTAACACACTGAAGTCCTATCTCAGAAAATTATAATTATACTATGTTAAGATTTATGGCCATTTAAATACAAGTTTTATAATACCCTATAGAGGTTAAAATCTAAATGTTTCACAAGTATATTATTCTTTTCAGAAAAAATAAAATTGAAAATGATAATCATAATAGCACATAAGGACCTCATAAAAAGAAAACAAAACTCTACAGTTTTACTATACAAGATATTTCAAAGCCAAGTACAAGGAAGAAATAAATTACATCAAGGTTTTTACAAAACATCACTTGCAAAATATTATTAAAAAACTAAAAAAGAGGCATGATCCATATGATCAGATTTTTTATTCCACTAAATTTGCAAAAGAGTAAACACAGAGTTTGCAAAGGCAAACATATTTTCAAAATGCACAATTCCTTAGACGCATTGCATCACTCCACTTCGGCCTCTATTTTCATACTTCAGTAATTAACTACTAAGTGATGCAACCCCAGAACGGAGTCATGAAATTTCATTTGCAACAGAGTCTTCCCTAGTTACATCAGGAGAAGGCCATCATAAGCTTAAAATAAAACTCATTAAAAATTTCCAAAAATGAAGACTAATCTAATCACAGGGAATAAAGTACATCTCACCAGCAATTCCCTCATATAATATAGTCACCTCAAAATTTATATTCAGAAAGCAAATAAAATATGTAATTGATGAGAAAATACAGTGATAATTATATAGTAAGTTTTGCAAACTTGAATAAAGATCTTTCCTAATTCTGTGCCTTTTCTCAAATAATTTAAGCCATACAATGTCAGGCCACTCAACAAATCCATCCTGATATTTCAATTCACTTTAAAGCTATTTAAAGTATCAATATATCCCTTCAAACTCAGAAGAAAGTACTTATACTTTCAAAGTTAATATAGGTTAACCTACTTTGATGAATGGTCTATTTATCTATTTAAAGATTTTATTTATTTATTCATGAGAGACATGGAGAGAAGCAGACACACAGGCAGAGGGAGAAGCCAGGCTCCCTCCAGGGAGCTTGATGCAAGACTCGATCCCAGGACCCGGGATCATAACCTGAGCCAAAGGCAGACACTCAACCACTAAACAACCCAGGTGCCCCAAATATTCTCTTTAATAAGTTCCACATTAATCGCACTGAATAAATTATAAGCACCAACTTTCTTTATAGCCCCGCAAGATAGATGTAGATTAAAATACAAAATCATCACATTCAAACCAATAGGAAATGCTTATAGATTTCTTAGCAGTAAAAACTCAAGAGATCAGTAACTCAAATAAGTATGTGGGTTCTAATTATGTCACATTCTAAGCAAAATGTGTAGTAATATCTGACAGATGGCATAAAGCAGCATGTGACAGATCAGGGAAAGTACTTTAGGTGTATCCAAAAAGAATTTTCCAATATCACAGGCCAGGGATTAAAGCCCAAGTCTATTCAGAACAATAATATTGTGGGGTTTCTTTTAAAAACTCTGAAATTAAGTAACAAGAAAAATAAGTTGATATAAATAAAGCTGCATAAAAACAAATTTGTAGTAAAATAAAAATTACAATTCATAAGGTTGTTAGAAGTAATCAAATTCTGAAAGTGCATTAAAAAATCCACTGGGGAAAAAAAAAACCCCACTGGGGGGAATCTCTGGGTAGCTTAGTGGTTTGGCACCTGCCTTTGGCCTGGAGCGAGGTCCTGGGTTCCCAGGATGGGGTCCCGTGTCAGGCTCCCTGTGTGGTGCCTGCTTCTCCCTCTGCCTCTCTTTCTCTCGGTCTTTCAGGAATAAATGAATAAAATATTTTTTAAAAAATCCACTGGGAGGAGCACCTGGTTGGCTCAGTTGATTGTCTGCTATCGGCTCAGGTCATGATCCCAGGGTCCTGGGATTGAGCCTGGCACAGGCTCTTTGTTCCAGGGGGAGTCTGCTTCTCCCTCTCCCTCTGCTGCATCCCCCCTGCTTGTGATCTCTCACTTTCTCTGTCAAATAAAAAAATAAAATCTTTCAAAAAATAAAAAATAAATAAGAAAACTGGGGAAAATTTTTTTTTCTACGTATGAAATGAATTTAATGTGAGATTAACAAATATATAATACAAGTCACAGTTCCTTTTGTTTCCTCTTTTGGTATACTACATATGCCTACCTTTTGTCATAAATGAACAAATGTCATTTACGTTAAACCTAAAAACATACGGGTTCAATATGGTCTTTTAAAATACTTTTAGCTTTATTTTTATTTAATTAATTAACTTTTTAGAGAGAGAAAAAGAGTGCACACATGGTGGGGAGGGGCTGAGGGAGGGAGAAAGAATCTTAAACAGGCTCCATGCTCAGCACAGCAACCACCATGGAGCTCGGTTTCAGGATCCCAAGATCATGACCTGAGCCAAAATCAAGAGTTGGATGCTTAACCGACTGTGCCACCCAGTTGCTCCAAAACTGCATTTAATTTTAAAGTATTAGTATCTTTTTAAAAAATATTTTATTTACATTCAATTTAGTTAATATGTAGTGTATTATTAATTTCGGGGTAGTATTTAGAGATTCATCAGTTGTATATCACACCCAGTGCTCATTACTTCACATGCCCTCCTTAATGCCCATCCCCCCATTACTCCATTCCCCCCAATCCCTCTTCCCTCCAGAGACCCTCAGTTTGTTTCCTAGAGTTAAAAATCTCTCATGGTTTGTCTCTCTCTCTGATTTCATCTCATTTTATTTTTTCTTCCCTACCTTATGTTCATGTTTTGTTTCTTATATTCCACATATCAGTGAAATCATATGATATTTGTCTCTCTCTCTCATTGATTTCTTTCACTTAACATAGTACCATCCACATTATTCCAAATACAAGATTTCATTCTTTTTTGATGGCTATGCAACAGAGTATCGCCTATATATATATATATATATATATATATATATATATATATATCTGTATATATGTATGCAATAGTATATATATATATATAAAATCTCCCATCTCTTCTTTATACATTCACCTGTTAATGGACATTTGGGCTGCTTCCATATTGTGGCTATTGTGGACATTGTTTCTGTGAAATGTAACCATATAGTGAAAAAGCCTTTCCTAATAAAAACTTACCCAGACACTCTGTGAGCAAACTCAATAATATCATCTTTAGTTCGTGGTCCTCTATAATTATATGCCAAGTCCCCCTTTAATCTTAAAAAGAAAAAAAGGATAAAAGCTTAGATTATTTCAACTTAATAGTTAAATAGTCTTAATAGTTAATGCTAATCACTATTGTTACATAAATTATACTATGTAAAATAGCAAATGCAGAGTTGAGAAGTAGCGTAACCATGTAAAATATAGTAGGCAACTGGCTTCAGGGGACCAACAACTTAGAATATAAAGAAAAGGTTGTATTTTATTAAAACTACATGAAAATAGTTTATGGTGTATCTGATACCTCCTGAAAAGTGTATGCATTCATGGTCAAGAGCTTGTCAAAGCATTGTATTTCTTACTATCTTCTCTAGTAAAAAAAATGATAGAGAATAAATAGTATTTTGGTATTGAGAAAACAAATTTTAAGCAACACAACATCACACTAACTCGAAATATGCTCCAAGATTACAGAGTAGAACAATGCATAAAACACTTATTCTAGAAAATTAAGATAATTTTTCAAAAGTCTGTCAATGATGTGTCTAAATGAGATTTTTAAAAAATGTGAAAGTACAATAGACCATCTATGATTAAACAAAAAGAACAGAAAGGATATTTTACTTAACACAAGTAAAAGAGGCTGAGCAACATTTTTTAAAGGTAGGGGAAGGGGGAAGTCAACACAAAACCCAAGAAATTAAAAATTAAGAATAGTCAAATTTTGAGATTTGAGATTTTAAAACACCGAAATAAAGCTTACTTTATTATAAAAATAAGTTTTAAAATAATTCAACTTGCACATTACCAAAATAAGAATGAAACTCAAGAAATAAACTCAATAAAATGATTATAAGATAAATCGGTTTAGAATTAGCATACCGTTTCTCCCAACTTACATACACTTTATATTAGACTTTGTCAACACTTACAGATTAGAATTAAATCCATCAATTTGATTTTTTTTCCTCTCTAATGAATTAAGTCTATTTCAATTATAGAAAAGTAAAACTTTGTTAGGAGACAGGATTCAGGTGATACAGCAGAATACACTCTTGAGCTCCTCAAGGGTAAAAGGGCTTCCATACTTTACAGCTGTACATCTTGTGTGCACGATGCCTGCCACGGTAAGCACTCAGAGCACATTCGGTGAATTAGTCGTAAACAACACACTCACTTAAATACACAGAAAAGCAGGAAGATGCAGTCCCTCTCTCTTTGATCACATGCTGTACCTAGAAAGAATTGCTAAACCCAAATTTTCAATCCTTCAAGGAAGCTACCAGAAATTAATGTAATAAAACGTAAGTAGAGTGAATAAAAATACACATATAAACATACAACACTCAACTTACAGCTTAATTGTTGGATAACCTCGAACTCCAAACTCTGAAGCAATGCCTTGATAAGAAAAAGAATAAATAATTCTAAATTTTTTTTAAATGAGAAACTAGGTAGTAAACGAGCCTTTTACTTAAAAAAATATATATATTTATACAAACTCATAAAAACGTCTTGCTTTTAAGTCTTAAAGAATATAAATTCACACCCAAAAAAGGAAAAAACATGACATTCTCCTAAAAAACAAATACTTAATAATACAACTTATGTCTAGCACAAAACACTATGACAAATTAAGAAATTAATGCCAAAAGAATAGTTAGTATTTTATCTCTAAAGTATTTTAAAAGATAAATATATACAGATGTGTGTATATATATATTTAATGTGTGTATATATATTTAATGTATATATATACACATACACACACACAAAGTCTCACTTGCCATTTGATTTCATTTTCCAGAACAAATTTTTCTAGGTCTCACTGGTTCCTTGCAAAAATAAATAACATAAAAAAAAAACAACAAAAAATCAAAGCTCATCATCCTTTTCTTTAGTGTTTTCTGAGTCTTGAAAGAACTGCACTGTATTTTAATTTTAAAAAGATAAACTGTATTTGCAAAATTACTTAATTTCTGCCATCAACACATGATCTAAAAGCAACCTTATTTGTTTTAGAAGTTTCTGCTTTTGTAATAACCTAGAATTCTAGTTATTTTTGAAGATTATTCTGAAGTCCTCACATTAAAATGAGATATGGCATCTTTTTTGAGGGAAAAAGAAACAAAAACAATCAAATAGAGAATTAGAACTTTAAGAGGTATAGAAATCACTACTGCAAATTAGTATCTGTAACTACAGATTCAAAGCAACCAGGACAGCAAAGAAATGAACTGCATCAGGTAAGAGGTGATATACAATATACTTATACATATACCAGTTTAAGTAAAATATGTCTTTATTCATATGATCTCTGTTAATTTTACTTATTTCGAGGACATTTTACCATGGTTGGGTATAAGGACACTACTATATGTGGGATCTGGTTCACCAATCACTTTAGTAAATATTACTCTGGTTTCTTAGCACTGCCCAATACACAAGAATAATGAATAAGTAAATTTGTGGCAAAATAATAATCAAAATCTCTCATCCTTCCTTCGTCACCAACAGTTTCTACCTTAAACATATGGAGAAAGGGGACTAGAAGGTTGCAGTGATCAACATTGGTTTTTATTAGAAGCAACACAAACAGTAGAGGTAACAAAAATAACTCAGTCCTGAAGATATAGGTCTTTAAAAAAAATAGATTTTGTTTATGAGAGACACAGAGGCAGAGACATAGACAGAGGCAGAAGCAGGTTCCCTGTGGGGACCCCGATGCGAGATTTGATCCCAGGACCCCAGGATCATGACCTGAGTCACAGGCAGATGCTCAACCATGAGCCACTCAGGCGTCCCTGAAGACATAGGTCTTGCTTCTAAATAGGTATGTGAACTTAAACCAATTACAGAATTTATTTTGCCCATCTCTAATGTAGAATTTAATTCTGTCAGAGTCTAACTAAAGACTGGTTATTGAGACTGATTTCTAAGTAAAAAAATAAGAATGATTTGGGGGAGGATTATGTGAGTAAAATATGTTAATGCCCCCCCTTCCCAAATGAAGAAGGCAGGAAAATATTAGCCCTTAATTACTTTCAATTAAGACTAATATAATTGATGGGGGGGAGGGTATCCCACTATCAATTCTTTGTTTATTGAAAAGCTTATTTATAAACAAACCAAATAAAATACGCAATGAGAAAATACGAAACTTGTTTTGTGATTCTCAAAACAAGTTTTAGAGAGAAAATCCCAGCTCCACATTTAATACCATCACACTTCATTTCCCTGGCCTCAACTTATTTGTAAGATGGAAATGTATAATGCTAACCCACTCTCTAGTACCTTGACTCTTTGAGCATTAAATTTCATTTCTGATAGAATTTCAATTGACGGTCACTCCTAAAACCTTAAACTTAGGTTTCCCTCTGAAAACAATTGTAAAGGGATGCCTGGGTGGCTCAGTGGCTGAACATCTGCCTTTGGCTCAGGATGTGATCCGAGGGTCCTGGAATCGAGTCCTGCATCAGGCTCCCCACAAGGAGGCTGTTTCTCCCTTTGCCTGTTCCTCTACCTCTCTCATCAATAAATAAAATCTTAAAAGAAAACCCTGTTGTATAATTAATAATAATAATAATAGTAATAGTAATAATAATATAAAAAGCACACAAGCAAAGCATGGGTTATAGACTTAAAATGATGTAGGCTAGGATTCTAACATCTCATTTACCATGCAAGCAGTTCTTTCCCTTCTGAGGACAGTACTCACCTTGCTCAGTTTATGGGTGGGATTTAAATGAGAAAACATGTGGAAAAGAATCTAAGAGAAAGCCTGGCACACAGAAATCCTCAAATGCAAAGTCCGTTTCCTATTTCTGTTCCAAATCTCACTGTTAGGTAATTATCTGCTGACACATCAGTGTGCAGATAATAAGAACTATCACATGTAAAATATAACTGACTTTAGCAGACCTTCAACTACACCTTGAGACAATTTTGTGAGGAGAAAGGTGCTGATGTTACTTTTCAGGTAAAGACACTAATACTTAAGAAGATCTGGTAATGTGTTTGAGGTAGCAGGACTACGAATGAAGCTCAAGTCTGAGTTTAACTTTTTGTTCTTTATTTTTTCATATTAAACAACAATGGTTTGCATAGAAACCTGAGATCAATTCCTTCATAAATTCAAGAATCCATTTGTAACATGAATAACTTCTCTGAAATTCTGTAATTTTAAATGCTCAAAAAATGAACTTAAACATGAAGCTCCCTACTTCCTTCCTGTTTTCTCTTTGAAATGATAACAACCTGATGTTAAAGCTAGGCTTGGATATGAATCATGGTGATCTCAAATTCTGGTCCTAATTCTGCCTCTAAGTTTGGTGTTTGAAATCACTGTCATTTCACTGATAACTACCTGCTATTATTTCTTTTACTTTTTTTTTTTTTATCCTGCTATTATTTCATCTACACAACAGGCTGGGGGAAGAAGGGAGGAGCTGGACTTAATGTCAAGTCCTTTTTCAGCTCAAGATTCTACCTTTTTTAGTATTTCTGGAGTGTTACTATGTGTCTAACACAAAAAGGAGAAAAAATACAGCAGTTGTTCTCAACTGGGGGAGATTATGTCTCCAGGAGATTCTGGGTGATGTCTAGAGACACTTCTCGTTGCCATCACTTAGGAAGACACTAGGGGACGAGAAGATGATCAGAGATGTTGCCAAATATTCTAAAATGCACAGCAACCCTTCCCCTAAACAGAATTATCTGGCCAAAGTATCCTTCGTGCTCAGACTGAGCAACTCTGAAATATAGTCACTGACCAAAAAGGGCTTCTAATTTAGAAAAAAGGTAAAACTAACTTGCCAATATAATCTGTGAGCAAGAAATCAGAATATTATTAGCCAAATGTCATTCCAAGTTCACACATCACTGAGAAGTAAATTATGACCTTTAACATAAAATGATTATCACACTTATGTTGAGGAATAAACAGAATTTTAGTGGTTCCATATAGAAATCAGTACACCATTAGAGGTGGTATCACACCATATTTTAACTTACAAAAGAGAAACAATTTTGGTACTTGATTTTGGAACGGATATGTACAGAACGAGAAGCTAAAATACGTATCTTTACAGGTTTTTTTTAATGTTAATTATAGCACTATTAGTTAAAACCATGCATCAAGAAAATTTTGATATAATTCCAAACACACAGGGCAGGGTAATCCATGATAGTTCAAATTTCTCTAGTTCAAGAATTCTATACCCAGAGATTTGTTGGACTGAATATGATGGCACGTGCTTCCAATCTCTGCACTTACATGATTGAGAAATAAGCTACTCTCAGAGATTTTCTATACTTTATCACTGAATAATCCTAACCCACCTCAAGCCCACTCCTATCAGTAACTATTCATCAGAATAATACTTCATTCTATGGTTCTCCAATTTAGATGTGCAGCAGAATTACCTGAAGTCCACGTTAAAAATACAGATTCTCATGACCCAGTCTCAAAGACTTTCACTGGGTAGGGCTGGTGTGCGTCTTCAGAGTCTAAATTTACATTGAACAGCCCAGGTAATCCTAATGCAGGTGGTCTGCAGACTAAATGCTGAGATACACTAATGCTGTAAATGCCTGAAAAGTGACCTATGGAGATGGATGAAATACATATGAAACAGCCAATCCTTCAGTATTTATAGTTAGACACAGAAAAATGTTGACAGTGAGTTTAAAAAAAATCAATTTCTTTACCTGTTTCTACTAAAATGCCTGTAATGGAGCTTCCTTGAGGTATTTAAGTACACTTAAAGAATTATATGTCTAAAATCTATGTGTAATCTCTAGACAGTTTTCAAATACACTTTTTTTAAATACTAGTAAGATAATACGCTTTTTCTCCATAACACATAAAATATCTCCTTGATTCTATAATTAAAATAGAAAATGCATCTATGGCAGACATCAAACACTAAGTAACATAACAATTTACTTATGTCTATTGGTTATTGTTGTCTCTCTCTTCTAGAATATAATTTCCATGAGAGTAGAAATTGTTGTCTGTATTGGTGACTGATGTATCATAGATGCCTAGAATGTGCCTGGTTCATTCTGGCATATAGTAAGGGCTCATTAAATACCCATTGAGTGAATACTGACTGTACAAATTTTTGACCAAAGAACGATTTTTCAATAGGCTATGTCTGTATGATGCAAGTAGTCCAAAAGATTTACAAGCAAGCATTACCAGGTGGCTTGGGAAAAGGAGTGGCGGGTTTAGTGCTGCACATCCAACGCATAAAGGATATAAAGTATAGAACACCCATCACAATACTTGGCAGAGGATCATTCTCATATATACCAGCTCCCCTATCCCTTTTCCCAAAGCTAGATGGTTTGCTTGAGAAAATGTGCTCTGTGTGTTCTATACAGGTTTCTTCCTCCTCTTAATACAATATAATATATAACACAATGCTGAGTGAACAACAAATCTATAACAACCACATATGGGAGGCAAAAATTAAACCTTTTAATGGATTATGAATAATGGGATGAAAAATAGTCCCATCATGAAGTATCTAAAAAGCTACAAACCATATATGAAGTCTTAATGCCTATAAGAACATTGTATTTTAATCTGAGCATTTAAAACATTTTCTTTTCTAAGCTACTCAGAAAGAAGTCTTAGATATTTTTTCCCTAAACATAGTGTCACTTAATAGTGACATACATGGGTACTTACTACATACTGAATAGTAAGCTAATAAATTAGATACTGTAAAAATAACTGACTTACTGTAAATAGTTATTATCATTGTAGCATCACATGAGTAGTTCATCATTAAGGTTTTTACTGATTTATTGGTACTAATTTTTTCATTGATTATTTGTCATCACGTACCCACACCCCTTTATACATTATTTTACTTTATGACTCCACTAAATGATTCAAATAATCACAAGAATTTGTCACGTTTGAGACTTTATTGTACTTGTTGGTTTATTCATGTTTTTCCTTCTATTAGACTAAACACTTCCTGGACAAGAAGGATTTGTTTTGGTCTTCCTTTGATCTCTAGAGACTAACAGAGAAGTGAGTAAACACGCTGAGTAAATACAACTGACTATGCGAATGAATGTATGTACACACAGGTCGAATCAACAAGATTGACACAAGATTCCCTAGACACAGAACTTATTTTCAGGAGCAACAGTTCAAAGCAATAATTTCTCAAACATTCCTAAAAGCTTATTTCAAGAAATCAACCCAAGCATTATTCTCTGTCTGCAGTAATTCTTGCCATTACTCTGGTCTCTCAAACTTTCAACGACTCATTTGTTTGACTGTGATTCCAGCCCTCATATCTAACTGCTCTCTAGTTCCCTGTTCCCAAACTTTAGTAAGCCAAAAATGCCATAAACTCACAATAGCTACTAACATGGAAACATACAGAAAATTAATTACTCTTTTTATATAGCCAGGAGTAGTGTAGTTCAGTAACTACACTAAGAATCTTACGCTGTTACTTCTGATTATTCTTTGTATTACAGAGCCAGTCTATCACATCTGTGATTTCATCCTTGAAGATGTCTGTAAGGATCAGTTTCCTCTTCACTGTCACTACGAAGTCTGGGCTCCTACACCAACATGCATACAAAAGTTGAGTTACATGATCTTCTTGTCTCTAACTGCTTTTCTTTTCTATCCTACATGTTGCTGCCAAAAAACAATTTTATCAAGTCAACTATCTTCTCAAAAATGTACAATATCTCCTAATTGGCAACTGTAAAATCCAAAACTTTATGACATAAGGGACCCCTAAAATCTGGTCTTATACTTCATGTTATATGCACTAGCCGTTGTGTGAGGGGTTTTGAATATGAAGCGTTAATACAATCCACACAAACTTCAGGATTATTACTCCTCCATTTATAGACAGAAACTAAAATTGAGAGTTTAAGGCCTTCCCCAAAGCCCCAGAAGTAGCATATGCCAGATCTGGGATTAAAGCATAGGCCTGTCCTTTTCCAAAGCTGTATCCTGAACACAATCCTGATTTCCTAAAAAGAAATGTACATTATATAATTCTACTCTCTTCAACAATTCAAGGAAAAGGGAACCTATATGTATTGAATACTACAAGGGACTTTACAGGTGCTACATCATTCAAATCTCAAAAAAACCAATAAAAGACACACGATAATTAAATATTTACCAATGTGGACATCAAAGCTTAGAGATGTTAAGAAACTTTCCCCATGTTACATGGCAAAAGTAGCAGGCAGAAGCAGGATTTGAATTCGGGTCTGCTTTCTGAAGCCATGCTCTTTCCAAATTTCTATACTTCATACTTCTCTAAACTTAAATTCTTCTTTTCTCAAATCCTTTAATATAGGCATTGGTAAACTTTTCTGAAAAAGGTCAGATAACAAGTAGCTTAGGCACTGAGGGAAAACAATCTGTTACAACTCAACTTACCCACTGATGCATGAAGACAGGCACAGCAGTAAACAAATGAGTGTGGCCGGGTTCCAATACAGCTCCCTTTACAAACGTGGGCAGTGGGCCAGATCCTGTCCACGGGCTGTGGTTTGCCAATCTTTGCTTTAAGACATTCTATCCTCTGCAACATACTTATTAAGCTCATTTTCAACTCTAAGGTTTTCTATCGAATGTGAATAACTTTCCTGATCCTCCACTGTATTTATTCTACTTCACCTTGTAGGTCCCCGTTTATTCCTCTAATAGGTCATCTCTGGCTACTCAGACAACAACTCTCATTCTGAAGTCACACAGCAATGTCAACAGTTTAACACCCAAATTTCAGAAGTTGCCTCAGGTAAACAGAGTATCTCAAGCAGGCTCGATAGGAACAATAGCTTATACACCGTTAGGCACAAGATTAACATACACTGCATATTACACATTTGGTGGCTAATTCACTTAACTCATAAAGTATACAATCTTCAATTATTAAGATAACCTTAATTCATCTGAGCAAAAAATAAGTGTTTCTTCCTCCTACCTTGAATACTCCTTCACGTAATTAAACCACTTTCAGTATGAGAACAGTGAAAAAAACAATAAACTGAGAAAATGCTTACTAGAATAGGAAGTAGCATCCATCTTTCCAACTTTAACTGGAGAACCAATGCTTTTCATCTCAAGACCAACTTCATTCCAAATCGGTTCCAGTTTTTTACAATGGCCACACCATGGTGCATAAAACTTGTTGGGGGAAAAAGAAAAGACAGCCACTAAAATGTTGCGCTATTGTGTATAGCAATTTTAATTTTTAAAGAAATCTCTTTGATTAATGAGGAGATGAACAGTCCATTTTAGATACAAAGTCTAAATATAATTTCCAAAGCAGTTTCATAAAAAAGGTAAAACACAAAACATGAATCTAATTATTTTAACTCCTAGCACATACCTCAACACTGCTTAGTTTAACTCCTAGCACATACCTCAACACTACTATTACCTTATATTCATTTAAAATTACTGATTCCTATTTAAAACAGATATAATTTACAACAAAAACAGCTTTGCTTTAAAGTCAGTGTATGAAATCACCAAATACACATAAATCCCCCCCACATCCCATAATAGTTCATGATGTACCTCAGTCTATTTCTATTACAAAAACACCAACACAGTAGGTACCTTTGCTGCTTTAAGCATAACCACTGGTAAGGCATGGGGGTCAGTAAAATGACGGGCTTGGCAGAGGGACAAGTCAGGTTACTTAAACTAAAACTAGTTCCTTTTTTTCTTCAGGGCCACCAGGGCACTGGGGTGGATATAGGTTCCTCTAGTTAAATGGTGTAACAAACTGATCGTTGTACTTTCATGGGGAAGATTTATCTACTTTTTTTTTAAAGATTTATTTAAGATTTATTTATTTTATTCAGGGAGAGATGGGGGGGGTGGGGCAGAGACACGCTTCACGCAGGGAGCCTGACATGGGACTTGATCCCGGGTCTCCAGGATCACTCCCCGGGCTACAGGCGGCGCTAAACCGCTGCGCCACCGGGGCTGCCCCACCGGGGCTGCCCCAGATTTATCTACTTTTTAACATTATACTATAGAAATGTTCAAACATGCACAAAAGGAGAGAGCAAGAATTAAACAATGGACTCTTGCCCCATAGCTTGCCTTCAGCAACTGTGAACTCTGCTCTTCTCATTCCATCTCCTCTGCTGCCACTCTACTTTTTTACTGCAACAGGTTAAAAGGAATCCCAAACAACATGAAGTTTAAATACATTCCAAACTTGAAAGTAAGGAAAGGAAGGAAGATGAAAATCTGACTTTGTTCCCTATTAAGATGAAAATAGGACTTTACTGTCAAGTGCTATTTAGTAATTTCTTGGATAATATGAAACAAGAAGAGTGAATTCTTTATCATACCACAATCTCCCTCAGACATAATCCGTATTTTGAGTTCTTCAGAATTTCAGCAAAAACAGGTTCCCTTGTAGGAACCTTAAGGCTCTGAGATTCATTTTAATTTAATAACCTATATAATACTATGTGACAAAAACTGAGTAATATACATAAACACTAATCATACATAACTATATCTGTGTGGAGGAGAATCGGAAATACTTAAAATGGCATGGGTAGTTAATGAGTACAAAAATTTAAAAATTTACATACTCACATCTACAAGCCAAATGTCATCTTTCCGATTATCTTTAAACCTAAAACACAAAAATGAGAAAACAAATCTTTGCATGTTTATTTCTACCTTAAAATACGTGAGGATAATCAGTAAATATCGGAGAACGAAACAAATTCTTTCAACAAATTTTTACATAGAATTTTTACTACACGACTTCTAAATCTTATCCATTAAACATCTTTAAAAAAAGTAGAGAACTAAGAATCAGGAGTAAAGAAGAAAAACAAGTGGGACTTGGTAGACACAGATACAGACCTCAGTTCTGGGCCCCTCTATCCCACCGACCCCCATGCATTACAGTTAACCAGGCTAATCTGAGGCTACTACCCTTAGAAAGGTCAGCTTGGTTGACCCTTGGCCCTTGGTTGGCATCCGGGAACTTGAATTCCAGGAGGGTTTCCACCATTACCCGATAAGATGGTTCACTGTTCCAATGCTATGCAATGTGCTTTTATGATGAACACCTGCTTTTCTTCTAGGAGTCTGAAATCTTGGTCCAGACTAGGCAGGAAGGTCCTGACATGACCACCCTCCAATAAGAATCCCTAAGCACTGAGTCTCTAATGAGCTTTGTTGGTAGAGAACATTTCATACATATGGTCACAACTCCTGATGGAGGAATTAAGTGCATCCTATGTGACTCTACCAGCAGGGGACTCTTGGAACTTGTTCCTGGTTTCCTCTAGAATTCACCCCACACTGGTTTTTCCCTTTGTTGGTTTTCCTTTGGGCCCTTTCACTATAATAAATCATAGCTGTGACTTCCACAACAGGCCAAGTCCTCTGAGTGTTTCATGGCCAATAACCAAGTCTGGGGACCCCCTGTCACAACAGCCTACATTTAAAGAATTTTCCTATACATAGTTCTGATCATCTGATAATGTTACTCTTATCTGACACCTTCTTGGTCCCCTTCCACCACCTGCAAAAAGAAGTATAAATTGCTTTATGTACTTATGTGCTGGCTCCAATTATCTTTCTACTCAAATGTAAGCATCCTATGATTTCCAATCAACCCATGGTATTTATCACAGCTGAATTCACAATGTTTATTTGACTTTCTACATTCTTTCATGTTCACATCCTATCCAGCTAAGTGCATTTCTTACTCCCTAATACCTTCCTAAATTCTTCACCACTAGAAACAATCTCTCCACATCATCTTTATCTTCTTTAGGATTCTTATCAATTTCCACATGTTGTATTTACATATTACCCAACCATAAATACGGTTGTTTCATCTCTTAGTACCTTGCAAAGTGACCTATGTTTAACCTATACTGAATGAATGACAAAAATTCTTTATGAGAATATTTAGTAAGATTCTTGAACTTACGGTTAAGACTTAGAGAATACCTGGCCGTTATCTGAGCTCTTTAGTCCAACGGGGCACTTCTATCTTATCCAGCTGTGACACAGTCTGTCCTATGACATGGGCAGGGATAGCACCCTTAATCAACCTCCCAGGTTGGTAAAGCCAAATCTTCTAAGATTTGGAGCCTTTGCTCCTCTTAGGTTTAGTAAAAGGTTCTATTTTATATACTGGTATTGATCCATGGAGCTATCCAGGCCAAGCAGCATCGCCACCTTAAGTAAACTTCTGAGCTACAAACCTGTAGTTAATGGTCACTACGCTTGAGGGGAGGACCCATACTTTGCACCCAGTGGTAAATGCAAAAAGTTACTGTCTCCCAGTCCTTGGTGTTTAGTAGCCATTTTCATCTTTCAATGATCTGAATCTTTGGGAAGGAGCTGAAGGCTATGGAGGTAATTTATAGCCCCCCCCCCCCCCCCCCGCCATGCTGAGGCTACAGAGTCAGTGATTGTCACATTGAAGGAAGGGGAACAGACAACCGGGCCAACCCTAGTGCATAGGACATCCAGACTGGGGTAATCTTGTCCCTTCCCATCAGCTGATTAAGCCTGTACTTCAAGTGTTCATTAAAATGCTCAAGTACCCCTGTGGATCAGGGGTGACATGGAGCACAGAGATCTGCTGTATGCCCATGACTAGGCAACTGATGCATAGTCTGAGCATAAATTCCAGGACTGTTATCAGATGCAGTGTTTCAGGGAACCTGGAAAGGAAACAAATGTTGTCTTGCAGGGCCTGGAGACTGACTGTGGCTGGAGTCACTGGGAGGTATGGAAATGGCTGGACCAAACAAAGTGTCAAACAATATCAAGATCCACTGGAATATGATTGACGACATAAGGGGCCCCATCTGCTCTATCTGCTAAGGATGCCCTAGTCCACTCACTTGCAGGAAACTGTTCTGGGGCAGTATTTTTAGCCTTGACTAGGGTCTGACAAGTGGATTGGCTTTTTCATGCCATTTTCGTGTCTTCTCACCACAGCAGCAGCCCGTGTACTGCCAGCCTCATCTAGGATGACATGTGAATTTCCATGGGCTATCCTCTGGTGGATCCAGGAGATAATTGATTGTGCACCTGCTTGCTTTGGTGTGGAGAACAATTCATTTTCCACGTTGAGCTAAAATCATGAAATGCTCATTGGTTTTGTTTCCTTTTGCAGCACAGGGGCCTTTCTGATGAGCATTCACACAGGTTACAAAACATTCTCTTGATGGGCATTGCATAAGGCACAGAACTGTTGCTGTACATCTGAAACAATTAGGAAAAAACATTTCTGAGGATCAGATGATCTTCATCCAAATGTCTCATTTCCAGAGAGGGCCCTGTTTTACATGCTACACAACCAATGGCCAAGCCATTAGCCACAGCCCATGAGACAGTGAAAAACACAGCAGAGCTCATTTGCTGGGGCTGTAGCAGTAAGCAGGACGTGTAGGGACAGTGGGGCAATGTGGGATCAGTGAGGCTCAGGAGAGGGGAGGCCTTGGTGGCCTATGAAAGGGCCTTCTGGGTATCCTGTTGATTGGAGACCCTCTCAAGAGCAGCAGCCCTTCCAGTAACCTGATAGAAGGGAGCCATCAAAATAATTTTCCACACTGCATGAAGCTGCCTATGGTGTGAGGGCTCTTTACCATACTTGGTGAAGGACAGGTTTCTTTCAGGTTGGATGGTAGCCACACCAAATTCCTACAAGTTAACCCAGGGAAGACATTAGCGCCCAGGCCCACGGGTGGTCTGGGAGGTCTGCCTGGTTCCCCAGTGGGCCAGAGTAGGCAACACCTCCTTCGATGTTATTCCTGGGTGGTGGAGGGGCACTCATGAGACCTTTTCATGGATTTGAAAGATTCCAGTTGGGCTCCTGTAAGTTCCATTTCCACTTCACTAGAGACCCAGAGCTGGCCCTACTTAGCAACATGAATGGGAATTTCTATCTGTGAACCCACTACTGCACTCATCCAAGGCCAATAATTGTCTCTCAAAGGGCATGTACCTTTCAGCCAACTTGAATTGGTCCATGCTGACCTATAGTGTTGTCCTCCTGCCATAGGCTCTGATCAGTGAACTGAGAGTTTGCTGACATGTGTAATTCAAACAGCAGATGTGGGATCAGTGAGGCTCAGGAGAGGAGGAGGGTTGGTGGCCTGTTAGAGGGCCTATCCTGTTGGTTGGGGCCCCTCTCAAGAGCAGCAGGCCTTCTGGTAGCCATTAAAATCCTCACAGGGCTATATGACAGCATCAGTAGCCAAACAGGCTCACCAATCCCTGGGCCTCTTTATTTTTCTCGGGTCAAAAAAAGTCAAAAGTTTAATAATGATCTCCTCTGGAATCTATGATATACCGCTTCCCAGATCAGGTTCAGAAACTAGGTCCTTGTACCTCATTTATGTTAATGCCCAACCACAACTGCTGCTTTTGAGTCATCATGGCATCCAGTCCTTGCTGGGCAGTGCCCTGTCTAGGTCCTCTAGGAGGTTGTCATCAACATAACGGAAAGCCTATACTCCCTCCAGAAGCACAACTTTTTCCAGATCATGGTCTACCCATTGACAGCAGACAGATGGGGAATTAACCTGCCTTGCAGGACATTAAAGGTATGCTGAAATTCATCCCACATGAAGGAAACTGCCCTGATCAACCCACTAGAGTGGGGTGCTGGAAAAGACATTTTCAATGTTAACTGCCACAGACCAAGCTACCTCCAGTAGCAGTCTCTTCATGATTTCAGTTACCACCAGTGGCAAGAGCAATACTTTGGTATTGAGAGACCTATAACCAGCAGCCAGTCACCTGGTACCCAAGGCCTTGTACAAAGGCCAGACGGCACTACTGAGTGGAGGAATAAGTCTCACAGAGCACTTTGTCTCTCTTCAGCTTAGCAGCCAAGATGACTGTTTCCTTTTGACTGACCAGGCAGCCAATATTATTTTGGAGCTAGTAATTGAGTAGGTTCGTAGTCTTCCCCATGTTCTACTAAAATGGTCCTAATAGTGGCAACTCCCATTGGGGCTCAGGGACAGAGACGAATGGGAGTACACAGAAACAATACCACATTTAGTAGCATGGGCTTGAAAGTACTCATCCTGAGTCAAGCTGGGCAAACGTGCCTATATAGGTCATCACAGACTCAAACCTGGGAGGCATATGTATCCTCCTCATCCTGATAGCAGGGGGAAGTAGAGATCACACTCACTTGTGCACTGATATCCAAAAGGCCCAAGAAGTATAATTCTCCCGTGAACTCTGACCTTGGCACAGGATGTCCAGTCTACCACTGGGACAGAGAAACCTCAACCTAATACCTACTCAAGGTCTGAGTAAATATTTCAGTGTTCCTCCACTCATCTGGTGGGGATACTACTAGTGACAGAAGGGCTGTCATCATACAGACCCAAGTGGTACTGCCCATCAGACTCTTCATGACTTAATATCTGGCCATCAGGTGTCTGGTGAGGAGTCGATTAATATCCTCCTTTGAGACCCCATTATTGAACAAACAGACCTAGAGTTTTTTTTCAGAAAGGCTCACACCTGGTTTGCCCAAGAAAGGGTGCTCAGTTCCCATGCTTATGTCAGTCTCTGTGCTTGTCAATCTTTGCTGTCTTAGGGGTGGCTGCTTCTTCCGTGTCTGGATATTTCTCAGTTAAGACGTGGACTGTGTCACAGACTGAATGGATTAGGTGAGGAGGCTTACATGGACTTGGTAACAAGCAGGGACATTAGAGAGAAACCTAGAAATCAGAGTCTGTGTAACGGTCTCATTATCTGCAGTTTCCTACTCCCTTCATGCAGACCCAAGGGATCACCAAGATGGCTCACAGGACCACTACCACCTCTGTGAGAGCGGGCCAGCCATGGTTTTCGGTGACAGGAAACCTGTCACGGAGGGCCAAACCTGTCAAGTTCAAAGAGCACCCAGCTGAGAAAGATGTCTGTGCCTGCTCATATGCTTCCTCATACTCTCCACTGTGAGGGCATTCTAAAAGAGGAAGTATATAGCGACACAGCCCTCAAGACATCAAGTTTAACAAGATTACCTTCATGTTAACAATGCTTTTCCCTTCAGGGGCACCTGGGTGGCTCAGATGGTTGAGCATCTGCCTTTGCCTCAGGTCTTGATCCTAGGGTCCTGGGATTGGGCCCAGTTTGGCGAGGAGTCTGCTTCTCCCACTCCCACTACCTCTCCCCCCCCCCGCCCCCATTCATGCTCTTTGCTATGCATGCTCTGTCTCTCTCATGAATGAATAAAATCTTAAAAAAAACAAAATAAAAAAACTACAACAGTTCCCTTCAGAACCTACTATCACTCAGCACAGCTAATAAAGTGCTCCCTGGGATCCTCAGGATTTCTGCTCTTCTAGAACAGCACTGTGTTCATATGACCACTTGCTACTGTACCAATTTTGTTGTGTATAGGTCATTAGGACAACAAGCAAAACTGAAAGTAATAAGCCTTTATTCACTCACTGTGACAACATAAGCCAACAGGCCAAAAAAAAAAAAAAGGTGCCAGCTCCTCAATGTTCCATTTTTCCGAGTGGAACAGTACCAGACAAGGGTCAGGTGGATGCAGCATAGACCAAAGAATTCACTTCACTGCAGAGGAGCACTGAACCAAAGGTTTCTGCCTTTTTATGAACCCATGGGCAGGAGAATGAAAGAGGAGGAGGGATAGTTGTGGAAAAGTACCGACTCCAATCGAAGAGGAGAGGCTCAGCCAAGCCCCTAGATAAGATCTCAGCAGAGATGCCCAGGAAGTGCCCCAGGTGACGCCCCCAATAAGGAGGCCTCTGGAAGAGGCAACTTGGGGCTAGAGATTCAAATATGCACGTGAGCTAGCCTCGGGCCCTGAGTCTCTGACTACAACTCTCCCCAGAGACTGCAACACGCGGGCTGTGCACCAAGTCTGGTGTGGGGAGAAGAGCTTCCCTCCTAAGGCCTGCCAGGAAAAGCCTTGAAATTGCCTATGGTCAGGCCTGAAAGACCACACATAGGATATTTGGTCTGTCTGGAGCTGTACTCCTCACCTACTCTAAGCAACGCATCGTGATTAATGCTACGGTTCTATGAAAACAAACACACGGTACGGTTACTAAATTCCAGCACCGGCTCACAAATACAACAAAAAATGATAAAACAGAATATGGAACAGTTAGTAAACTCCATAGAGCACAACCCCATACATTTGTATGTAAATAGAACTCGGGACAACTTCTGAAAACGTTAGTGCCATACAAACATCGCTCATTACTGTTAACTATTAAAAGACCAGATTCATGGAAATATTTAGATAATACCAGAATTTCAAAAAGTCAAAATACTATTTAAAATACATATATATACTTACGATTCATCCAAATCTTGTACAAATCCTTTACTGAAAACCACATCCAGTAAAAACACTGGAAAAAGAGGATAAGAGGACAAAATGTTTACAATAAACGCTGACTTATTACTTGTCTCATACTACATGCTTAGTCATCTATAAAATGTTTTTGATTTTTTACAATCTACCATAAAACCCATCACTGATCCATCCCAAGGCACAAACCATGCATAAGCCTAAGTAGCTGATCCCTTCACGAAATATTCGCTCTGTCAGCAACTATACTGTGACCCGCAAGGTTTATACAGGCTAATAAACCGGAGACACAGAGGTTCTCTTTCAACATATTTTTATTCCCTTATTTTTCCTTGTTGCCATTCCACCTTTTTTTTTTTTTTTTTAACCAGAGAACGCGTTCTTCTCTCTTTCTCCAGTAGTCATTACCTCCTCCTCTGTATAAACTCCACCTGCCATTCAAAATGCCGATTTAGCTTTTTTCGACCTCACAGGCGTGTCACGCCCGAGCTACACTACACCTGCAGCGCTCGGCGTCCTCACAGCCTGGCACGCAGGCGGCGTCAAGGGGATTCTAAGCGAACACACGGCGGCGGCGGCGGCGAGGACCCGGCCCGGGCGTGAGACGCCGGAAAGGCCCCCCCCCCGCCCGCCCCCCCCCCCCGACTCCGCCGTCGCTTTTCACGCCGCACGGTCCGGCGACCCGACCGCGACCTGTCCTCGGCCATCTCTCTCAGCCCCCAGGTGGGTGAAAATTCTCCGGACGTGACAAGCCTCGGAACCTGCAGCCAAAGCCAGGCGTGGCCGCAGGCTGGGGTGGCGCGGCCCCCACGCCTCTCCGTGCAGCCGGCGCGACGGAAACTTCCTGCCACACGAAGCCAAGCACCGCACGGGAGGCAGGAGCATCTTATCCTGGCCCGGTCCCCGGCACGGCCGCGCTGGGGGAAGGACCTCAGCGGCCGGGGGGGTCTCCCGGCGGACGCCACAGCCGTCGGCACCCTGGCGGGGGACCCCGGCCCGCCCCCGGGAGAGGGTCCCCGCGCGCGCCCGCCTCGCCGCCCCCGCCCCCGCCCCCGCGCGGCCCTTACCTGTGGCGCAGAGCCGCAGGCCGGCCCCGAGCGTCCCAGCCGCCATGCTCGCCGCAGGGAGAGCTGCAGAGGCCCCGGAGAAGAGACACGGGCGGCCGCAGTTGGCACCGCCGGAAAGGGAAGCTGGCCGTGGGCGCGCGGAAGGGAAGCCTGGGCGGAGGGCGGAGGGCGGAGGGCGGAGGGCGGGGGCGGGGGCGGGGCAGGCGGCCGCCGCTACCCTCCCAGGACCCCGCCGGCCTCCGCCTCTGGGCATGCGCGGGACTGCGGCGCCTGCGCAGTCGCGACGTAAATCTGTGCGCTTCCCGCTGCCCCCCCCCCCCCGGGAGCGTGGGAACCGAGCGCGCGGGCGCCTTCCTGTGGGGCCGGGGCGGGTGCGGAGTTGGGGCGCTTCCGGGAGGCGAGACGCCAGCTAAGTCTGGAGGGGAACGGGAGAGAAACGCCGCCGCCCTCGAGGCTTGATGCTGCCACATTTTTTTCACTTGCTGCTCCTGTGCAGCAGCGATCAGATTCGTGGAAAGAGGTGGGTGTTAGCAGCGCGTGGAAAGATGGAGGCCGTGGGTTCGTGTGTGAGCTTCCTTCCGCGCGTCTCCAAAATAAGTTTGGGATCTTCCCTGAACCTGTTTGCGAAATGAGGTACCAGCTCCATTAATGCGATTTTGCCAGCTGAAAGAGTGCCATCTTAAAGACTCCTCTTGGAACCTGAAACAATGAAGTTGATCTTAAGATACAGTTTGTTTTTTTTTTTTTTGATGATTTGTTCCTGTTTTCTGATTCTTTTTGATAAGACTGAAATACTGTGAAATATTTGCTATCTCCTCCCACACGACAAAAGTGTGAAAACGAGGTATTTTTTCATATGGCGGCTCTGCAATCACTACATCCAGTGTAAGTGACGTTTTTATAGGACCTAACATTCCAGAGGATTTAGATTAAATCAGTTATTGAGCCTGCGTTATTGGGAATAGAAATAAATCATGATGTCAGGCAGGTCACCTGAGGTTCAAAATTCCGACAGGCAGAGACCTCAGAAAATTCTACTCCTAATGACTGAAAGGTTACATTGTGAGCTGATCGGGAGCAAGCCCGAGATTTCACCTGTTTTATGGATACAGCGCAGGATCCGTTGCAGACCTCCAGCAGATTCAAACGTTTTTTGGTTGTCTAGTTTATTTTGATTTTAACATACAGAAGTATTTAAATCTCCTACAGGTTCTCAAAGTAGGGATTTTATAGATCCTGGGGCACAGAAGAGGTAGTTTGCTTAATTTAGGCTTTGAGGATGGAGTTGCCATTTGAAACGGAGTTTCGGACTCCGGAGCTGGTCTTATTCTAGCACCACGCTGCCTCCCAGACCTCTCGCTGCTCCAGGATTCTCTCCCTCCCTCCCTCCCTCCCTCCCTCCCCTTCCCCTTTCAGTCATCCTGTTTTCACTAATGGTACAAATGTTTGATCAGTTTCCCTGGGAGTTATGTTGGGTTTTTCCCAGCTTAAGAAAGGTACTGCTTGTGTGATTTTATGCACGTAAGGTTAAAATCAGGGAAATTAATAGTCTTAGAAGGCAGAGGTACAAGGAATGTTTTCTTTCTTGATCTGAACCCTGCTACCCAGATCTGTTCATTTTGTGAAAATGCATTGAGCTTTATTTACCCTTACAGTTTGTGTACTTTTCTGTATACGTAACTCTAGCTCTTAGATGAAAGTTTAAGAGAAATAAATCTATGTTTTTTTTTTAATGGAAAAGTGATCATTATATGGTGTTAAATAGTGCTTCTCAAATTGTACTAAGCATCATTTACTTTGATTAAAACAGTTTTTGAATACTCCTTACAGAATCTGAACCAGTGGGTCTGGATTTGCATTTCTTACAAGTTCCCAGGTGATGCTGTTGTTCTGGCCTTCAGATCTCATTTAGCCCTGAGGGAAAATAAATCCAGAAAATGTCATTCATTTTTAGATTGTTCTGTATAAAATATATTAAGTAAAAAAAAAATCTATAAATAAAAATCAAGTTTTTTGTAGTTTTTTTCTTGATGGCGTGAAATGGTTTTATTGTTAGTGTTGAATGATACTTTTTTAAATGTCTATTTTAATTTAAAATTTGGTGAATATGATGAGACATAACCCACATTAAAGAAAGGTCTTTGGAGATCTTCATGTATTTTTAAGAATGGACAGAGGTTTTGGGAACAAAAGTTTGAAAACAAACTGTTAAATAATCAGCGAATGCATACTTAACATACGTTAAGGAAAATTACAAACCTACCATATTATTTTCAACAGATTGAAAAAATGTATTATCAGTGTGTTTTCTGACAACACAGTTAAGATTATAAATCTATATAAGATAAAATCTCCTAAATCTGGAAATTTAAAAACACTTTTAAATAATGTCTTTGTAAAAAAAAAAAAGAATTAAAATATACTTAGAAGTAAACAAAGAATATGCCTATTAAAATTGTAGGTTGCAGCAAAACCTGTGCAAATTTATAGGTGTAAATATCTTTTATATTTTAGAATGAGAGAAATGAAAATTAGTTAACTGGATATTCTCCTTAAGAAGTAGATGAAAAGACTTTAGAAAAAGGAAGGATGGGCTCCTGGGTGGCTCACTTGCTGAAGTACCTGCCTTCTGCTCAGGTCAGGATCCCAGAATTCCAGGATGGAGCCTCACGTCTGACTCACTGCTCAGGAGGGAGTCTGCTTCTCCCTTTTCCTCTGTTCCTCCCCCACTCTCTGTTCAAATAAATAAAAATCGTAAATTTCCAAAAAAATAAAAAATAAAAAATAAAAAAAGAAGGATGACATAAAAGATACACAGGGATGTTAGATTTTATTTGCCAGAAACTGTGTACTGAGAGCATAACATTGAGCAAAATGGACCCTGATATGGTTCATTTCCTTTTTTTTTTTTTTTTTTTACAGTTCACTTCCTAGTGTGTTGTAAGAATTATCACTTATAAGGCTTATATATTAGTCAGTCAGTGTCTTAAAGGCTTTATGTGTTAACTCATTCAGAGAGGGAAAAAAGATACAGTAGACTCAAAAGAAGTCCCAACGTGTTTTTTGAAGTAATAAAATGGACAAATTTCATGTTTTAGTGAATCCAGAAATGACATGTAAGAAAGAATGAAAAAAATGAGAAAATCCAGAAATCATGGCTGCCTTCCAAGAGGCCGGCTAAATCATCCTTTACTCCCAAAGAAGGGAAGCCAATTCAAGGGGACTCAGTTCAGGGAAGAGAACACCTGCACTTATGTCATGTTCTCTCTCAACACACCACCCTTGAAGGATTCACTAAGCCCAGTTCACTAACTGGGAAAGGCAAAACAGAGAGAAGGTGAATCAAGACCCCCCCCCCCCAGTCCCACAGCAAGTTTCAAGCCTAAGAGTCTCAGGAGAAGGGAGGAATTTTTTGATGATAAATCTGTTTCAGAATTTTAATATTAGGACTCAGTATGAAAATAATTGAACTGATTTTTCAGCTTAATTAGATCTTTTATCTAGATGGACTTGTTAGAATTTTCATCCAGGGACAGGGGAAGAATACCCATACTGAGAAATCTTTAAAGGGATGATAGGAAGAGAGTTATTTTGATTATGTTGCCATTTGTTGCATATTCAGTGTAATTATATTAACATTAGGACCAAAACAAGGACATAGATATAGACAGAAGAGGTTAAAGAGATAAGCAAATTTTGTCTACAATATAGACAAAAAGAGTAGACCAAAAAAAAAAATCAAAAAGTTATAAAAATATAATTTGCCTTCCAGAATCGAGTCCTGTGTCAGGCTCCCTGCGTGGAGCCTGCCTCTCCCTCTGCCTGTGCCTCTGCCTCTCTCTTTCTCTCTCTGTGTCTCTCTCTCATGAATAAATAAATAAAATCTTAAAAAAATAAAAAAATATGTATATAATTTACCAGTATCAGTTCAACAACTAGAAGAATAATAGGATAACCATGAGAAAATTGAATCAAAACTTTGAAAGTGTCTTAGAAAAAGTGCTAACTTTTATGAAAAAAAAAAAAAAAAGATCTGTTACAAACTCTTGCAGAGAATTAAAAAAAAAAAAAAAAAGGAAGCACTCCTCAGTTTGTTCAAAGGCTAGGGTACGCTTGGTTTCAAACCCAGAGGAAGCATTTATGAGAAAGGAATTATACAGATCAATTCATTTATGAACAAAAATGCAAAAAATTCCAAAGAAAATGTTATCAAACCAGATCTAGCAGTGCACCAAAAAGATTAAATTAGCCCCCTCCACCCCCAGAAAAACCAAGTGTGGATTAATATTAGGGTGAAAACTTTGTGTAAATTTTCTACACTACCAGATAGAGATGAAATTTATGTAACATTTAAATAAATACAATAAAATTACTTGAATTTGACACATATTAACCTTCAATCATAATAGTAAACCGGGACTAGAGGAACAATTCCTCAGCATAATGTTCTGTTCAGGTTAATCTCTAGCAGTCCTGGAATTAGCCTGAGATGTTTTTGCTAAAAGTTTCCATCTGGAAAAAAAAAAAAAAAAAAGTTTCCATCTGGCACTAACCTCTCTGCCACCCATGAAACATGCAGACTAGGAATGTTGCTTTTTGTTAACCATGGACCCAAGGAGTTTTGTGGTGGTTTTTAACAGCCTGTCCTCATTATTTATTGGTAAGAGTGTGATTGCTGACTTGCAGCAGCTCTGCTGTTGAGGCTGGTTTTGTACCAGGAATATGCATATATAACCAGCAAAATATTAGGAATCCCAGTAAGACTCCTAGGTTCCCTTGTTCCAAGGTGTCTTATGCACGTGTAGGGGGTTCCTTATCTAAGAGAGAAAGTGCTTACAACCATAATTATTGTACAAGGTAGAAGACAAGCTTGTACCAGTCTCCACAGACCCTTGCTGTGAGACAGTCTTTAACAGTGATCCAAATTCTTGCTTCCACATTGTTTTGCATCCTTTTCCCCTAGTGAGTAATAGATTTATAAGTGTTTTTTGGGGTCAGTCTTCTTAGTTGAACCCTGTTGCAGTTGCAATTGGTGTTAGAGGTGGGATAGCTTAGAAGACTTTTGACTCATTTTTTTTGCTAAAAATATGACATAGGCACTATTTAGAAAGAAAAAGGAGAATCCTGACAAAGGGGATGGAAAGGAAGCATTCATTGATGCAGAGGTGGTT